AAAAAAAAAAAATTTCATGAACACTGGGCATTCATGACAATTTTTCTCTGTAATCAAATGTGAAAAAGATTGCTGTGTGGAAAGTATGCAATATTTGTTGTTTCTGTCTTTTCTTCCACAAATATCTGAACACCTACTATGGTGGTATTGTTGCAGCAAATCAGGAGTCGAAATGATCTTTCAGAGACCAGGAGAGTTGAGTCATATAAGAAAGAAGTTTATTGCCAGGCAATGGCCAGTCTCAGGAAATGAGTCCTTATAGGCTGACCTCGAGTTAAGAAAGCTTCTCCTTTATATATCATTTACAGAGTAAGAAGTTCAAGTTTCGGTTACACAGCTGTGTATCAAGACAGCAAGGGACCTTTTTATAGCTTCAAGGTTGGGGGCTTACATAAACAATTTCAAGGCTGTTCTCTTATCTTTCCGGGAACAGGCTGCCCCATCTGAGGGAAAAGGCTCACCCGGTGTTTTTTTAAAACAGGGACAAGGTGACACAGAGGGGGTTTTTCGACAGCTCACACAAAGCACAAAAACAACATATTTCCGCTATATTGTTATTTTAAGCTGACATACAGTTCATGGACAGATGTGCTACAGTAATTATTCATTCCAAGTTATGTTTAGCAGCTCCTTCCACTTCAGTATGAAGACCACACTGTGATCTTTGCCACCTTGGGCAATCTATGTTGGAAAAAGACCCTAAATACGTGACCACAGTAAATAATTACTAATTGTGATAGTACTAGGAAAGAAAGAAGTTGCTGTGACAGAGAGTAATGGCAAAAGGGAAAGATACTTAATTTAAAGATGTGGTCAGGAAACTTTCCGAGGAAGTTACTTCAAAGCTGAGAAGTCAGGAATGAAAGGGAAGAAAATACTGCTTGAGACTTTTTTTGTAAGAAAGAAAGGAGGAGGATGATTTATTTGCGGGCTCTCTCTTTAGCCTCCCCAAGTATCTTTCTTATACTCATCTATTTTACCTTGAAACAGTCTGGCACCCACAAATACTTCCTGAACATTTCCTCCTATGTAAATAGCATTGTGCTAAGTTCTAGGGGGAAATGCTGATTCAGTCTTCAAAGATCTACATACCAACAGTTACAATTCAAAAACTCATCCAAGCTCCCAAACCCCAGAGTCACATTCATAAAGAACAAGAGAATCTCTTTGATGTACAGGTTTTACACACTAACAATGTAATTCTTCTTCTCTTCACAGCCTATATTGCCAGTTAGTTGTGATCAGACAGGCCTAGATTCCTAATTTTTTTTTTTTTTTTTTTTTTGAGACAGGGTCTCGTTTTGTAGTTCAGGCTGGCCTTGAACTTGTGACAATTCTCCTGCCTCAGCCTCCCCAAGTGCTGGGATTACAGGAGAGTGCCACCAGGTCCAGCTTTAGATTCCTAATCTTGCTGTTGCTAGGCATAGCAGGCATAAAATGATCTGGATTTCAGATTTGCTCATTTGAAAACCAGGGCTAACAATACCCAAATTACTAGGTCACTGAGAACATTAAATGACATTGCTTTTTTAGTGTATGTGCTGCCGAAGCCAGCAATAGATGACATTACTGAAAGCAGAATTTGACAAGAATACCTCAGATACTACAGCCAGACAGAACTGGGTTCAAAACTAAACTCTGCCTCGGGAGTTAACATTCTGAGCCTAGATTAAATTGTAAAATGGATAGAGGTGGTTGTGAGAATTAAATGAGACACTTCACACGCACAATATCTATTGCATATATATTGACATTTACATTTCTGTTTACACGGAGGCCTGAGAAATTCTACCCCTAGAGCAGAAACTTTCGGGGAAAGGAGTAATGGGGAAAACATTACATGCTCTTGAACTCACTCAACAAAAACTGATGAGGGCTTATGGTGTGTTCAGCGATATGTATTTGGACAAGCCTTGAAAACTTAAGCAGAAAACGAGTGAAAATATAGGAGAAAGTGTCTCCCTTACTCCCCACCCCCGGAATTGAACCCAGGGCTTTGACACTAAGCTAAACTACATCTTCAACGCTTTTTACTTTGAGACAGGGTCTCGTTAAATCGCTAAATTCCCTGGGCTGGGCTTGAATTTGCGACCCGCTCGACTCAGCCTTCCAGTATGCCGGGATTTCAGGCACGTGCCAAGCTTCCTCCTTCAGTCTGACACCCAGTTCACCAGCAACTTCTGCTAAGGCACCTGGCCCACAAGGGGAGCCTCTGGGGTCTGCCTCCGTTTCTCATCTCGTCCCCTCCGGCCCGGTCACTGCCCTGCTGTCTGTCACTTGGCCCGTCCCGCCCCACGGTCTCTCGGACCACACCCCGGAGCTGGCTCTCGGGTTTCCACGCTCCAGGCCGAGCAGTACCTGCAGGCCACCGCGCTTGTTCCAGGTGAAAATGGACCCCGGGTACCCGCTCAGAGCCAGGAGCAGTTCGTGGATCATCTCCTCGGCGGACTTAGAGTCCCTGGATACGCTGTCCGGTCCTCCAGCAGGCCGCCGGGGAGCGACCTTCCTCCTCTGAGAACTCGCGCGGGGAAACTCGGCCGCAGCTCCCAGGACCACCCTAGGAAAGAGGAGCGCATGCGCGGCGGGGGTGGGGCCGGCTCCGCGTCCCGGAAGTGCGGGGCCCACACGCTTTCTCCTGTCCTGGCGCTCAGAGAGGGAGGCGCGAGAGTTGTCGTCGCGCATGCGCCTTCAAGATCCCGCGGCGCCCGCTCAGACTTCCGGTTTAGGAGCCGGACTGGGCACCTGGAGAGCTGGGCAAGGCCGGACCCCGACGGGGTGAGGCTGGCCCGGGGGCAGGGATGCGAGCGGGCTGAGGGGCAGCCCGAGAGGGACTCACGCCCAGGTTTGGGCGGAAGTGCCTTCTGGGCGCCTCAGCCCGGTCTGAGGCCTCTGGAGGGACTGCTGTCCTGCGCGTCTGAATGACCCGGCCCGAGGGCGCCAAGACAAAGAGGCCAGAAAGCCTCGGCCACCGTTCCCGAGCCACATCCCTGGAGGCCCCGCCACGGTCGCGCTCGCCAAGGGCGAGACCTGTTCTTACTGCTCCTCGGGCCCGTCCCTCCACGGCTCAGTGTGACTTTCACAAGCTCGGTACCAGGTCTCGCTCCGGGAGCCAACCAGCTTCTCCCGACGCGCGAGGCCTCTCGTCATTAGTGCCACACCCTCGCTGAGCCTTCACTGCTGCTGCAAGGGAAGAAAACACACAGCTGGATTTCAGCCCTCGAGATCGAGGGGGGCGGGGATGGATAGTTAGGAGCCTGGGGGGCGGGGCACACGGAGAGGGCCCGGGGAGACCGCGGAGATCCAGGGGGCTTCTACCTCGACCCCCGGGCGTTCAGCAGGATGATGACGCCTTAAGATCCTCTGAGCCCCGGGTGTCCCGCATGTGCTCGGATTTGGGGAAGGTGGGATAGGAGCAGACAGTGCTTTGTCTTCCCGCAGCTTCTTGGGGCTTCCTTAGGTGTGGCCCAGAAATACAGCTTTTGAAAGGTCCTTCTTGCTCATTGTTAACTTGCTTTGAAGATGGTGCTGCCTCAGATAGCCCCTTGGAGCGTGTGGGAGGTGAGGCCAGCTCCGGCAAGACTTAAGACATATGAATATATTGATGGTGCCATCTCTCTCTACCCTAGGAAGCAGCTCCCCTTGTAGAGAGAGCCACATCTGCAGTTGATTCTCCAAGGACATGGGAAGATAGGTGTCAACCCTGGAACCCAGACCCTTAAGTGGAGGGGAGCTGTTTTCTGCTGTGAATGATGGCCAAACCCACTCTGAGAGAGAATGGCACCAATTGTGAAGCCTTTCGACAGCGCTTCAGGATGTTCCATTACCAGGAGGTGGCTGGGCCCCGGGAGGCTTTCAGTCAACTCTGGGAACTTTGCTGTGCGTGGCTAAGGCCAGAAGTGCGCACCAAGGAGCAGATTGTAGAATTATTGGTGCTGGAGCAGTTCCTGACCATCTTACCTGGGGAGATCCAGAATTGGGTACAGGAACAATGTCCAGAAAGTGGAGAGGAGGCAGTGACTCTGGTGGAAGATTTAGAAAGAAAGCCTGCAAGACCTGGATGTTCGGTGAGAAACTGGGAAGGGGCAAGGTATAAACAGTCTCCCTTATACTTCTGATCGGGTGTTACTTTTCTGGTGTGAAACAGGTAACTTTTTCAGATAGCACATGTCTGGAGATGCTACCAGGATGTGTCATTGTCTACCCTGTCCTAATGTTTTGTTTTTAATTTTAGTTTCTTATTTACTAGAGAAAGGATGTTTTTCAGCCTGTAGTTAGGTTTACTATTTTGATTTTTTCCTTCTGGAGTTCCAGCTGGTGTAAGCTGATGGTAATGGAATAATTCAGACCCTTCTTTGCTATAACCTCCACACCCCTGAAACTCTAGCCATGTTTTAGATCTCTTTTGGGGTTAAATAATCTCCTTTGGGATTGTTCCTCATGACCTTGTGGTGACAATAAATGGGGGTTGTTTCCAGCTCACAGCCTCTGTGAAGGGGAAAGAAGTGTGCCCGGAGAAGATGACACCCCTGAAATCATCACGAGAGTTATTAAATGTTCAGCAGGAATCAGTGGAATCCCAGCCCAGCGGTGGACCCAAGAAAGAGAGGGCAAGAAGCCCAGATCTGGGACTACAGGAGCAGATGAATCCGAAGGAGAATTTCAGACATTTTCAAAGGAGCGGTGAGGAGTAGACTCATGTGGGAAGACAGAATGCCATTCTAAGCTGGGAAGAAAGGTTGGAAATAGTGAATCGGAAAGGGATTTCAGAGATAAGTGGAAATTATAGAATATGTGGTGGTTGTTGGGAACCCTCTGAAGACATGTGCGTTAGCCATCTAAAGCCATATAGTAAATATTCTGATATTTCCTTTTTTGATAAGTGTCCCTTGTTTGTTTGTTTGTTTGGGGGTTTTTGTTGTTGTTGTTTTTTGTTTTTGAGACAGGGTCTTGCTATGTAGTTCAGACTGGCCTTGAACCCACTGTGTAGCCCAGGCTGGCCTCAGGAAATCACAGCGATCCTTCTGCCTCAGCCTCCTGAGTGCTGGGATTACAGGCATGTGCCTGGCTTTAACTCCATAGTTTTTATCAGAACCTAGAACTATTTTATTTCTTCTTGGTGATGATGATAGGTTACTACCTTATAGATAGAAATTCTTTTCTATACCAAAGGCACATCTTTCTTTTAGCTTCAAATTATATTTCTCTCTTTAAAATTTCCCCTTTAGGGCCAGGTATGGTGGTGCACACCTGTAATTCTAGCATTAGGGAGTATGAGGCAGAAGGATGAGTTTGAGGCCAGCCTGAGTTACTCAAGGCCAGCCTGAACTACATAGCAAGAGCCTGTCTCAAAAAACCAAAAAATTTCCCCCAATAATCTCCATTCTTTAGACATAAGTTTTTGTTACTTTCAACTTTGGAATTTTTAAATTTTCTAAATATATTAATTGTGAGTAACTAAATTATATATATTATTCCAGTGAGGGTCTGTTAGGTAGTAAGTAAGAATTTTACTTCAGAATTTCACAACATCTTTAAATATAGCCCAGTTTATGATTATGTGATCATTTATGTTCATCTGCTAACTCTTAGGACTTTTACAGCTTTTCCCCACTGTCTTTGTACCTAGTTGTTTACTCTGGTACTTGATTTTATTGAACTTGTTCTTCTTATCATCCAAGGTGATAGCCTTCTTGACCAGTTTGAGAATGGTCTCTATTCAGTCATCCAGATGAAATTCCTTAATTGCACACACAGACTTGCAGAATTAATCTCTCAACCTCACATGCATGAACTCACAACCTTCCCTGTGCTAAACACTCTGCAGTAAGAAAAGGTACTAACCTTAAAGAGCTTAGAATGTGATTGAGAACACAACAGCAATCTGTAGGTGGGTGCTGAACTGAACCATGTTGAAATGATCATGAACAATGACTTGTTCAATTGTATGAGTACTTCAGGGGTTTGGGAGAGTGGAGATGAGGGAGAGCTTCAAGGAAGGTCTCTTGAGGGCACTGGCAAGGACAGATTCTGGAAGGATGAGTTAAGTTTGGATAGGAGGAGGGGATTAAAGGAAAAGCACAGAGTAGTGAATAAAAGTGTACTGTGTTCTGGAGAGAAGAGCATAACAGGAACGGATAGTGCTTGCTAGGCACTAATATTAAGATTCAGCAAGATAGCATGTGAGCTGAGGAAGCAAGAGCTTGGAGTTCAGTAGGACAGTGGCTATTGCAGTTATCCAGGAGTGTCAGGGGTCTGGACTTGAATGGTGGCAGGAGGAATATAGAGAAAGCATGTCCCAAGGGAAACATCTTTAGAATCTGGTGACTGAGTGAGTGTGAAGGAAACAGAAGAGTTGAAGACGGACTTCTCTCCCCTCACTCTTGAAGTCACGGAGTTTTATTCTCTAATCCCAAGTGAAGAAAAATAGGCGACAGGAGGTATTCCCAGCAGTGCTACGACCTGCAGACAAGTAGTGTCTCAAGGAGAGGGAGCAACTTGGAATAGAATTATCTCTTCCTTTCTTGTCACTCTGTTCTGGAAAATAAAATATTTTTCATCTTTTGAGGCTTCCTGTATTTTCCCCATTTTCTAGCCTACTAAACTTCCTGAAAACATTACCTTAGATAATTTCTTTATAATCTTTTGGATAAAAACAGCAGGACTGGGGCTGGGGATTTAGCTCAGTGGCACTGTGCCTGCCTCACAAGTGCAAGGTCCTGAGTTCCATCCCTGGTACCAAAAAAAAAAAAACCCAGCAGGACTGAATTCAGAGATATTTTGTATGATCAGTGCAGGCTATGATACCCTTTGTTTGCTTCCTTGCAAGCAGGATTTCCATTTCCTGAATCTGGTGTGGTCTCCATGTTGGAGCAAGGTAAGCCATGGATTCCAGATCCGGGCTCCAAGGAGAAAGAAGTCCCAAGAGGCAGCCACACAGGAGATAGACGAGTGCATGCTGACCTGTTGCCATCCAAGAGAGAGAGGAGAAACTGGATGGAACAGGATCACTGGGGTTTCGAGGATGAGAAGGTGGCCGGTGTGCACTGGGGCTATGAAGAGACCAGAACTCTCCTTGCAATTCTCAGCCAGACTGAACTTTATGAAGCTCTTCGAAACTGTCACAGAAACAGCCAAGTGTATGGGGCTGTGGCTGAGAGGCTCCGGGAGTATGGCTTCTTCCGGACCCTGGAACAGTGTCGGACCAAGTTTAAAGGTCTGCAGAAGAGCTACAGGAAAGTCAAGAGTGGCCATCCACCTGAGACCTGCCCCTTCTTTGAAGAGATGGAAGCTCTGATGAGTGCTCAGATCATTGCCCTGCCCAGTAATGGCCTGGAAGAGGCAGCCTCTCACTCTGGTCAGGTGGGCAGTGATGCTGAGCCTGAAGAGCCCCAGCAAGAGGGTTGGCAGCATGAGGAGGAAGCAGAAGAGGCTTTGGCTGAGGAGTCTGACAGTGATGAAATGGACCTCGAGGCCACCTCCCAGGACCCTGATAACTCAGCTGCACCTGTCATGTTCCGAAGTCCAAGTGGTAAGAAGCTTTTCTTGGGGTTTTGGGATTAGACAGCAATCAGACTGGATGAGGAGTCATGAGGCTATCACCTGCTGTCTTGGCCATTCAATAGGAATGAAATGCATTTCTTAATTCCATGTCTGTGTTATTCTCTTTATCAGTGAGATAATAGTAAGGAATAGACTGATATTTGAAAGAAATACAGAAAATTCAAGAGTGTCTTCAATTGTCTTTTTTTTCTCTTTATCACTGATATAAATAAATATAGATAAATCATACATGTGGCTCATATGCTAAATGCTATTTTTTTTTTGTCTTTTCCACTGCTTTTTCTGTTTTCCAGTGCTTTCCTATTCTTTACTCACAGTGAGTGGAGGATAATGGAAAGACAGTAACATTCAACTGGCTCTCAAGAGGAAGACGTGGGGCTGGGGATTTAGTTCAGTGGTGCCTCTGCCTGCCTCGCAAGTGCAAGGTCCTGAGTTCAATCCCCGGTAACCCCCCTGCCCCCCAAAAAGGAAGGTTATGTGAGCTCTCTTTCCCTCCAGTACTAGCATGTGTCCAGGCCAGGAAACAGTTTGCTCTTACTTCCTTCCTCACTGGGGCTCTTGTCATGGATGACATGCATGACTATAGGGCTTTGTTTTGTCCCTTTGAGGTCTTTGGTATTGCTGGCCTGCTTAATTGAGATCATGGCAAATGAAGCAAGGGCCATAACAGGGACTTGGCAGCAGTATGATTCTGAAAGAGGCCTGAACCCTGGAGTTTTAAGTCATTCTGTGGGATACTGAATTCATAAAGAATTCAGTGATCAGGGGCCGGGGATTTAGCTCAGTGGTTTCGTCTCCTGCTGTGCAAGCACAAGGACCTGAGTTCGATCCCCGGTACCAAAAAAAAAAAAAGAATTCAGTGATCAGAGAAATCAGCAGTGATACATTGTGGCTGACAGCAGTTAGTTGTGGATTTTCTTCCTCTTACTGGTGATTTTCTAGTAAGACTTAGAATTCCATAAAAACTAGTAGAAGGATGGGGAAATACATTTTATACACTTGACTCAGTGTATGCAATACATAATGATTTTTTCAGTGATTGAGTAGAAAGCCTTTTTTTCAGTAGCAAAATAGAATTTACAAATAAAATTCTGTCTGCTAAAGGATAAAGAAAGGATAGAAACAAAATATTCTATAATAAGTTTGTTTAGATAGGAACCTGAGGTTAGGCAATTTTCTTTTTTCTTTTTGGTGCTGGAATTGAACCCAAGGCCTTGAGCATTCCAAGCACACACTGTTCTACTTAGCTTTATCTCCAGCCTTAGTATCCTTCCTTCCTTTTTCCCTTCTTTCCTACAGGTATAGCCTCAGTCCTTTTTATTTTATTTTATTTTATTTTTTTTGGTACCAGGAATTGAAGTCAGGTCCTTGCGCCTGCGCAGCAGGCTCAGCAGGTAGCAAAACCAGTGAGCTAAATCCCCTGCCAATCCTTTTTATCTTGAGACAAGGTCTTATTAAGTTCCCACATTGGCCTTGAACTTGAGATCCTCTTCCTTTTGTCCCGAATTAGGTGGGATGATAGGTGTAAGCCACTACATCTGGCTTTTTTTCTGGGTTTTTTGTTTGTTTGTTTGTGACAAGGTCTTGCCATGTAGGCTAGGGGATTGCCTTGTACTCACTGTGTAGCCCATGCTGGCCTTGAACTCATGACTCTCCTGCCTAGCCTCCTGAGTGCTGCTATTATAGGCAGGTGCTCAGCTTTTTTTCTTGATGCAGGTGATAAAACTGGGGAATTGAGGCTCTAAAGCTGTGGATTAAGTGGTGCTGAAATTCTTTCCTGGTGGCAGGTGTACACTGGGGCTATGAAGAGACCAAGACTTACCTTGCAATTCTTAGTGAGACTCAATTTTATGAAGCCCTCCGGAACTGTCACCGCAACAGCCAGTTATATGGAGCAGTGGCTGAGAGGTTGTGGGAATATGGCTTCTTCAGGACCCCAGAGCAGTGTCGGACCAAGTTTAAAAGCCTACAAACCAGCTACCGGAAGGTCAAAAATGGCCAAGCACGAGAGACCTGCCCCTTCTTTGAAGAAATGGATGCTTTGGTGAGTGCCCAAGTCACTGCTCCATCCAGTGATGGCCAGGAAGAGGAAACAGCTTCTTGCCCTATCCGGGGGACCAGTGATGCTGAAGCTCAGAAGCAAGCTACAGACACAGAAGAGACCATAGAGGAAGATTCTGATGACAATGAAGAGGATACTGAGATACCTCCAGGGGCTGTCTTAACCCGTGCTCCAGTCTTATTTCAAAGTCCCAGTGGTAAGATTCTTTCCTTCTTATGGGATAAGAAGCAAGAGGGATGAAATGGGATTTAGGAGAAAAACCTTTAGGTTGAGAATGGGCCTCCTTACCCAGCTTCCATGGATTGTTCTTGTCTACCTTATCCCTTGCCCATGTCTCCTATCTGTCAAAGCATTTCAGTGACTTGGCCTCAGTCAATCTGAGATAGCTGCCAACTTTGTAAATTAGCTGTGTGAACTGCTAGAATTCCAGTTTACCTGGAAACTGAAAACTACATTTCCCAAGTAGCATGTCATGTACCCATGACATGGGTTGATTTTACAAGTTCATTCTCATTTATGTTTTCTTCTGATTATACCTTGTATACGAGCCATATGTTGACTATATTCACATGTATGAAAGCCTGACAGCCCTTTTCTTCAGACATACTTTTGGAGAAGTCTGAAGTCTCTATGGGAACTGACTACATAAGTATCAGCTGTTATAAGAAAAAATACTTCAACATGGCTGCCTTCCTTGTGGGAAGAAGAGTTCTGTTTTTGCAATCATACATGTATATGTATGTGAATCTGGGCTGTGTTGTTTAACGGAGTACTCCCAGGTTTGCTTTGATATTAAGATCTTGAGCTGGAGATGGAGCTCAGTGATAGAATCCTTTCCTAATATGTGCAAGGCCCTCGGTTTGATCCCTAGCACTGCAAAAAGAAAAAGAAAAAAAAAGTAATAAAACTGGGTCACAGAATTGATGAATATGAGATACTGCATGAAGCACCTGTTGCAGTGCCTGGACATATAGTAGGTATTCAATAAATAATAGTTTTTAATTCCTTAAGTCTTTTAAGTTCAGAATGCTTTAAGGATGTTACATGGAGAATCACTTACATGGAATATTAATATGTTCTACTAAAAAAAGATTTTTAGGTTTGGGAAATTCTAAATGTATCTCTTGGAGGCTCACAATACATATTCACATAACAGTAGTACCTCGGTTCACAAACACTTCTGTTCATGAACAGTTTGGTTTGCAAACAGAAGTGTTTGGCAAAATTTTGCTTCCATTTGTGAACTCTGCACTGGGTGGTGAACTCTGCACTGGGTGATGAACACTGGGCCATCTTCCCACACAAATACAAATGCAGCCATCGTCCCTGCTCTGACACATGGTCATGGCTTCCTTTAGTCAAAATTGCAGTTATAGACAGACCTGTGCACACTTGCTGTGAAGCTTTTTTGTTTGCTTTTTAGCACATACAGTACTGTACAGTATTATTCAATCCAGCATGGCTCCAAAGAAAGTGCAGAGCAAGCATGGTGGTAAAAAGAAAGTGCAGAGCGGTAATGAAGGTAACAAGAACATGCAGAGCAATAATGAAGGTAACAAGAATGTGCAGAGCAAGAATGGTAAGAAGGTTTTGAAAAAAATAACCATTGAATTGAAGAAGGAAATTGTAGAAAAGCATGAGCGTGGTATTCGTGTGACTGATCTGGCCTCAGAGTACAAGATGGCAAAGTCAACAATCTCAACTATTTTGAAGAATAAAGATGCCATCAAAGGAGCTGATGTAGCAAAAGGAGTAACAGTGTTAACCAAGCAGAGGACACAAGCGCTGGAAGAGGTGGAAAAACTTTTGTTAGTGTGGCTGAATGAGAAACAGCTGACAGGTGATAGAGTTAGTGAAGCTATGATCTGTGAAAAAGCCAGGAAATTGCACAGTGATTTACTGCAAGAAAACCCCTCTATAAGTGCAACAAGTAATGAATTTAAAGCCAGTAGAGGGTGGTTTGATAAATTCCGCAAGAGAAGTGGCATCCACAGTATGCTAAGACATGGAGAAGCTTCCAGTTCTGACAAGGCCAGAAGCCTACAGTAAGAAAGAATTCACACAATTCATGAAGGCAGAAGGATACATTGCTCAACAAGTGTTCAACTGTGATGAAACGGGCTGTTCTATAAGAAGATGCCAAACAAAACCTATATCATGCAGGAGGAAAAGGCACTGCTGGGGCACAAGACCATGAAGGACAGATCAACCCTTTTGCTATGTGAACACAAGTGCCGATCTGAAGATTAAGCCACTACTGGTGTACCATTCCTAGACCCCTTGTGCACTGAAGGAATAGAATGTGAACAAGGCCAATCTGCCTGTAATATGGAGGGCCAATGCGGAAGTGTAGGTCACAAGGCAATTCCTCATGGGATGGCTGCGTGAAGTGTTCATACCCACCATTAAGAAATATCTTTCTGACAACCAACTGCCTAACAGGTGCCGCCTTCTGATGGACACTGCCCCCGCACACCCTCCAGCCTTGGTGGATGATATGGATGCTGAGTATGACTTTCCCCTCAATAGCTACCCCCCAATACAACACCTTTTCTGCAGCCCATGGACCAGCAAGTGATCTGCAACTTCAAGAAGTGTACCTGAAGGTGCTCTTCACCAGCTGTTTTAATGTCACTGAAAAGACATCCTTGACTCTGAAAGAGTTCTGGAAAAAACATTTCAGTGTCCTCCACTGCATCAACCTCATTGACAAAACCTGGGAAGAGGTCACATACTGGACCTTAAACTCAGCCTGGAGGAAAGAAACTGTGGCCAGAACATGTCACTGAATGAGACTTTGAAGGGTATGATGCACAGGTAGTGGAGGAGATTGTGTCCATGGGCAGGAGTATGGGTCTGGATGTCAACGGTGCAGACATAAAGAACCATAAGGACCATAAGGAGGAGCTGATGATGGAAGAACTTGCTGAACTCCAGAGTGAGCAGCAGAAGGTGCTTGTTGAGGAGCATTCTACTGAGGAAGAGGAAGACAGGGAGGAGGTTAGCAGTGACTGATGTGATAAAACCCATTATGGAAAAATGGAATGAGTGCCAGGATTTCTTTGAGAAATACCACCCCAGCATAACTAATGTGTAGAGTGAATCTGATGAACGATAATGTGGTCTCTCATTTCCAGAGGGTATGCAGTGCAGGAAAAAACAAGTGACATTAGACAGATTTTTCGTCAAAATTGACCCTGCAGCTAAAACACCAAGAAGAGGGGAACCCTAAAGGAGATCTCCTCAATGTCCTTGTGGAGGGGGACTTTCCCTCCAAACAATAATCTCCTCCCCACCCACCTTCCTGTCTTCCACGCCAGAAGTTGCCTCAAGCAAGGTTAGTGTTCTCTCTCTTCGTACTGTACTGCACTGTTTTATATTTTTGTGGTTAAAAAAATACATGTGGTTCAGAATGAGTTAACCTTGTTTTATTCGGTTCGCAACCAATTCAGTTCATGACCAGAATTGTGGAACAAATTAAGTTTGTGAACCGAGGTACCACTGTATTTAAGGTTGTGTTAATCTAATCTAGTAAGACTAGGCTTCTGGGTAGAGATACTGCTTTAGGGGTGCATACACAGGGTGACACTCGGCATTCTTCTGCTTTTAGATTTAGTTCAGGAAATTTAGAATCCAAAAATTTATCTGAAACATCTAAGTGCAAATTCTTATAGCATAGGTCCAAAGAAGCCTGATACTTGTCACCCCTGTCCCCTTTGACAAAATACTGGGTTTCACTTGTACAATATAATTTGATCATAGAGCTGAGGATGTAGCTCAGTGTCGCTGTGCTTGCCTAGCAAGCACAAGGTCCTGAATTCAATTCCTGGTACTGAAGAAAAAAATTTGATCATACAAGCCAAGCATTTGGTTCTTCGAATATTAAAAAACTGTCTTAGCAGAACGCTTGGGCATTAGACTAGATGCTTTTTGGAACATTTAGTGAGTATTTTTCTGTAAGCAAAGAAAATGTCTTAGAGAGGTACTTCCTAGCATAGTTCTTCTCTGAGAAGACCTTTTATTCTTTGAAAGATGCAAAATATTTTTCTACTTTTGTTTTTATTTCCAGCATATATGGAATTTGAGGGGAAGGAAACTCATGAAAATTCTTTCTGAATTTTCCCCAAAAGTCTTCCTGGGAAACTCCTTTTAATCCCTTTAGTTACTGCCAAAGAACATGAATAAGAATACCATGATAAGCCTGGGAAATGGCAAAAATACATTATAAAGTACTTTTTTTTTGGTACCAGGGATCCAACTTGGGACCGCATACTTTCGAGGTGGGCAGCAGAACCACTGAGCTAAATCCCCGGCCCACAGAGTGTCTTTTCTATATAAACATAGTGTTCTCTAAAACCTAGTGAGTTTTCATTGCTGCAGTGAAAGAATTTTCTAATGATCCTGGAACATTTAAAAGAATGTATCAGCCTCTTATGTAATTATGTAGATGAGAAGCATATGACAGGTTACTAAGGGAGTAAAACATTGGAATTTTAATACTGGCAGTAATTTGGGATCAAAAGTTCCTTCATTTTTATCTTTAATCATCTAATATATGTTTTTCATATGTTTGCTTTGTCCTGGCACTGTTAATTAAGGAAATGGGTAACTATAAATTCTATTCTTATGTCAGGTTTTGAGGCTGGATTTAAGAATGAAGAGAATCTAAAACGAGATATTTCTGAGGAAGTACAACTGCACAGGACATTAATTGCAAGATCTGAAAGGAAAATTTCCCATTATCTTAATCAAGATAAAGGCAATGAAAGTGACTATAGATCAGGAAGACAGTGGGAAAAGACCCCAAGGGAGAAAAGAGGAAAACTGACCCTTTCACAGGAGAGTTTAGGTAAAGTCCTAAATCATCAGAGACTATACTTGGGAAAGAGACCCTATAAATATCTCAGATGTGGCAAAAGCTTTGGCCCAAACTCCTGTCTCATGGATCAGATATCCCACCAGGTAGAAAATCCATACAAATGCACTGATTGTGGAAAAAGCTTCAGTCGGAGTGCACGCCTGATCAGACACCGAAGAATCCACACTGGAGAGAAGCCTTACAAGTGTCTTGATTGTGGGAAAAGTTTCCGTGACAGTTCAAATTTCATCACCCATAGGAGAATCCACACAGGAGAGAAACCTTATCAGTGTGGTGAGTGTGGGAAATGCTTCAATCAGAGCTCAAGCCTTATAATTCACCAGAGAACCCATACAGGAGAAAAGCCCTATCAGTGTGAAGAGTGTGGAAAAAGCTTCAATAACAGTTCTCACTTCAGTGCACATCGGCGGATACACACGGGAGAGAGACCCCATGTGTGTCCTGACTGTGGGAAAAGTTTCAGTAAGAGTTCTGACTTGCGTGCACATCACAGAACCCACACAGGAGAGAAGCCCTATGGATGTCATGATTGTGGCAAGTGCTTTAGTAAAAGCTCTGCCCTTAATAAGCACCGGGAAATCCACACACGAGGAAAGCTTCTGCCACAGCCAGTGCCCGAGTAAGCCTCTAAAGGACACAGCCTCTTTTCTGTGTATTGTTTGGAAAGTGTTCCAGTAGTGACAGCCATCTCCTGTTCTGTGCCCACCTGGCTTAGGAAGTACTCCTGAGAATTTATGCTAGTGTTTGTTTCTTATGCTTCTTCTGGATCTAGCGTCAAATTCCCAAGGCAGTTATTTTAAGAATAAAAAGATTTTAGTCCCTCTCCTTGCCTGCATCTGAACTGTTGGGTAACATCTTTTCCCTGTCAGTGCCTATGCTGTTCCCTTAATAGACAGAACATAGTAGATCTGTGAATTTACTTTCCTGTCAGTCAGTTGCATTTCAGTTGGAAAAACCTGTTCCAGCAGCATTTTGGGGAGAAGTTGTGAGGCTTGGCTCATTAAGTAGGTCTCATTCTTCCTCAGTACAGTAATGGAAATGTTGAAAAGAATGACCCTTCCTGCTCACTTAAGCTTGTTCTCAGAATTTGACGTATTTGTTATGCATATTTTTCATTACCAAAAAGAAAGTTTAATTTCCACCGTGATTCTGTCCTATGTATCATCTTGTTAAGAACCAGGTGTTCTGAATGGAGAAACAGTGTAACAGTGCATAAATACTGGATTTCCTAGTTTTTTTTCAAGTCCTAGGAAGGTTGGAATAGACTAATACTACATCCATAGCATCTAGCTTGATTTTTCTTTTTGTCCTGTCATCTGAATTTCATGTGTCCTTAATGGTCTAGAAGGCCACCAAACAAGCTAGCTAGATTTGCTGTTAGGGAAAGAAGTTAAAGCTACCAGCAGGGAGTCATCCATTTTCCCTATACCCCAAACTCCTAGTATGGTGTTATGCACCCCATAGATGCTCAGTACTAACATTCAAGGAGTAGAAGACATTGCCATGTTCCCAGGTGTGGGAAAAACGGACCACTTTGTGTCAACAACCCTCTACCATAACGGCAGGGAAGATGAGAATATCTTTGGTCAGTGTAGTGGGCAGTCTACACACTCAGCTGTATACAGTTAGAAGCAGCTCTTCAAATATAACTGATCACTGATCTTTTTCAATTATTTTTTTACCACTGATCTTTTTAATGAAATACTGAATTAGCTGTTCATAATAATATGAACCCATGCAGCACAAGTTCAACAGACTCTGTCCTTGTCCTTACAATCAAAAAAAGATGATACAGGGCCAGGGATTTAGTGGTGCTGCCGCCTGCCTCGAAAGTGCAAGGTCCTAGTTCGATCCCTGGTACCAAAAAAAAAAAAAAAGATGATACATAGAGAAGTTCAAGTGTATCGTTGTATCAGTTGTAGAGAAATCTTCAAAGCTAGGTAATAACACTGCGTAAATGTTAAGGTCCAATGCATTAGAATTTGCTGTGAGAAAAAGCTGAGAAGGAAAAAGTATACAAAGGAGAGAATGTTACTGAATAAATCAGGATGGAGGGAACTTTCCAGAGCTAGTTGTAAAGTTGAGTGCTGGGTGGGTGAGAAATGAGGTAGCAAAGGACAAAGGATAAACTGTAAGGAAAGTCAGATAAAGCTTGGAACAGCAGAACTTGGCAAACAAGTGATAAGAGCTGTGCAGGAGGCAGAGAATCACCTTTGCAGAAACATGAAGTACTAGATGTAGACCAGGAAATGGTGAACTTGTCTGCAGTAAAGGAGGTACTCTTGTACTTACTGATAACAAAACAGCTGGCTGGCACTGGGGGAGAATGAACAGTTTTAGAGGACTAGCTCTTCTGGGAGAGAAGAGGTCAGAAATTAGTATCTGTGTCTACTGAAGACACAGTACTTTGATGGGCAGGTCAAAGGAAAAGTGAACATGACCATATGGCCAACACCTGGGATAAATAACTTTCACACTCATACTTAATTAGAACCCTGTGCTGGGATAAGATCTGGGAGAGCAGTAAGGAGATGGAATCCTATAATTCATAGCTGTGTTAGCAGAGAGACTATAACTTGAATTCTTGTGAAGAGTCCTAGTATAAGGAACCACTTAACATTTGTTAGCAGTTAAGGGAAGAGCTCAAGAAACACCAGTCTAGAGTCAGGGATGTAGCTCAGTGGCACTGTGCCTGCCTGGCAAGCACAAGGTCCTGAGTTCAATCCCGAGTACGAGGAAAAAAAAAAGAAAGAAAAAACCAGGGGCTGGGGATTTAGCTCAGTGGTTTCGCCGCCTGCTCTGCAAGCGCAAGGACCCGAGTTTGATCCCCGGCACCAAAAAAAAAAAACAAAAAAAAGCCAGCCTAAAGAAATGCCTGAGAATCTGAGATGGTTTAGGAAGTGTGTTGTAATGTCAATAAAAATGATATTATTATCTTTAGTATATCTGTATAGTCTTATGGAAAAAGTATTGGTTGGGTATCAACGAGTTCAGGTTTCAGATGTCTTGTAAGTAAGTCAACCTGCCTTTTTCCTTTCTGCAAAGCAGACTAATGTTTACATCTACTCTGCCTCTCAGGGATACCATGTTAATAAAAATTATGTCTATGAAGTGCTGAGTGTTTCTTTGGGTGTTTTTATATATATGCAAATTATTATGATCAAGTTGTTAACAAAGAAAGATAAATCTCCATTTGCTTTTTGGGGGCTTCCCATGTGGTGTTATTGGAAGTATGTCTGCCTGAACTTTTGTTCTAGGAAGAGGAAAAAATTACAATGTAGTAAAAGAAAAATTAGAATGAAAATCCTTTCTTGTTTTCTGAATTCATAGTCAGTCCATGAGGACCCATGATAACTGGGCATGGAAAATGAATGTTATTCGAAAATGCCTAGATCCAACCCTTCAATCTCAATGAAGAGAATGTGCAGAAGGAATAGGACAACAGCAAACTTTTACCAGATGAAGACCCAATTCATTTCAAACTAGCTCAACAAACCATTAAATAGCACCCAACCTGCCATTCTTGAGGATGGAAAGAAGCAAGAAATACTGTAATAGTCTTCAAACATTCTGGGAATGAAAAATCAATCCCGCAACTAGGGCAACAAAAGACATAGGCACTCCTAATCTTTTAATATCCATAAAGCCTTTGTGGGAAGAGAGAGGGACATGTGCAGCAAAAGAAGCAAAAAATAAATCAGTAGGAGGTGGATAGTCCTATTTCTTTTCATTAGGTGTTTCCTTGTGCTGCTACTTATTTTTCATAAGTTTCCTCCATACTACCATTTGGCCTTTTATTGCCAATGTTCTATAGCTAATGCTACAGAATCTAATATTTGTATGTTTTCCCTGTGTCTCCCATTTCTCATTTATTGTAATCTGAGTGTGGAGGCGGAGTCCAGTCAATTTTGTAATAGCTGTTTTTAAAGTGACCATGTAGGGAAGGGAAGATAGAGTGTAAAGATTGATCAATTCTCTCAATTCAAATCTAAAATGAATAGTCCTATATACTCAAGTAGCTAATCTAATGACATAGTGTCTCAAAAGTTTTGACATATGTTAGAGTATTTGCTGAAGCTACAGTGCTTAATGTTTTATAAGTTATTTACAATAAATTTTAGAAACATAACTTTCTCCTTTACTATACCCACCATGGATGGGGCTCTTTCAGAAACAAAACTTTGGAACAACTGGCAATCAAGTTAAAGACTTGAGACAGAAGCCAAGGTGTCATAGCACTCAAGAAGGGTCTGGCCAGCATAGATCTCTGTGTCAATATAAGATAGGGTGAGGTAGGAAAATTGAAATATGTGTGTGCGTGTGTTTGTCCTTGCCCTTATGAGGGGTAGTGAGGGTGTTCAGTTCAACCTGTGTAACCCAACAGAAAAGTTAGGAAAGGAACTTTAGTCTTGCACAAATAGTGAGGTCCTCAAATTACTTAAGTAGCATTCAGTTTAAATATATTTTATTGGCATTTTCCTTAAACCCAGTCCAGCCAAAGGTCATTCACTTCGTTCTACAGTGAGGTCTATATTGCAGTAACTCATGCTGTGGGCCACAGAGCACTTTAATGTTTCTTCCTTAGATCACAAATCTCTGGTTGCCCAAAGCTAAAATTTGAGAATTTTTAACAGGCAAGGAAGTGACACTTAACAGATTAGGGTCAATTTCCAGTGAACTCAGAGATCTTGATTAAGCTGCACTTCAGTCAGCCCCACGGCTCTTGACTTCTGGGTTCATTTGTTGTATAGGTTAGACACGAGTTTTATATACTCTTAGCAACAGGAAAAACAGAAGGGAAATTTCTACTTTCTGGATTCTCCTGGAGAAACCTCTGATTCTCCTTATTTCCAATAAAAACTCTACTAACTTCAAAAACAACAACAAATGGAAGTAGCAGCTACAGTGGTGACAAGTTCGAGATGGGATTTTGATGATGAAAAGGGATGTATGCACAGGGTTATCTAGTAGTATGAAGAGAAGGTAGAAATATTTTTCAAAATGCCAATCACTGAAAGAATCCAAGAAATAAGGTTTCAGAAGGCCTATTCCAGTCTACATATAGTTTTGTAACTTTTTATCTTGATGAAATTTCAAATGTACAGGAAATGTTCCAAAATTACAAGGAATTCCTGTATACCTAGATTCACCAGTTATTCATTTTATTTTTTATTCTATGTGTGTATGTATATGTACATATATACATGGTGTGTATATATGTATATACACGTATATACGTGTGTATATATTATATACCTGTGTATATATACATACATTTTATATATACCTATATGTGTATATAAATATATATATATTTTTCTTTCTTTTTGGTTTGAGACAGTCTAGTTCAGCCAGGCCTTGAACTCATGATGTTGCCCAGGCTGGCCTTGAAATCTGTGATCCTTCTGCCTCAGCCTCCCCAGGGCTGGGATTACAAGCATGCACCACCATGCCTGGCTCTATATATGTAAATTTTTTTTTTTGGTAACAGCTATTGAACTCAGGACCTTGCACTTGTGAGGCAGGCAGCACTACATATATTTTTTTATGTTTTGTTTTGTTTTTTTCTGGTACTGGGGATTGAACTCAAGACCTTGTGCTTGCAAGGCAGGCGCAGAGCCATTGAGCTAAATCCCCAGCCCATATGTATATTTTTTTAAAAAGTCACTCAAGCAAGTTGGAAACACCATGCCCTTTTTCCTAAAAACTTTATATTGTTTATTTCTTAAGGAACAAGGACATTCAATCTCAGTAAAATGATCAAAGTGGGGAAATTTAAAATTGATACTATCTACTCAATTTTACCTTGTGTTTTTCTTGACTAACACTTTTTTCGGTACTGGTGGTACAGTCCAAGGGCCCTTTCATGCTAGGTAAGCACTCTTACTACTGAGCTACTTTATCACCTCAGGCTAGTCCCAAACTTGGAATCCTCTATGCCTCAGGCTCCTAAGTAGCTGGGATTACAATTGTGCACCACTGCAATCAGCTCCTTTACATTTTGAAAAAGTATGAGGCTGGTATGTATTACATTACAGGCATAGGTCACCATGCCCAGCTGTGACTGCATTTTTGGCATGGATACAGTAAGAAGGATGTTGCATCTCTGCATCATATCAGAAGGCACATGTTTGTCCCAATATTGATGATGACTTTGTTCCTTGGCTACGGTACGTTTACCTGGTTTCTTCATTGTAGGTACAGTTTCCCTCTTTATAATTAATAACTAATATATGGGGAGTATTTTGAGACAGTAACGTACTGTACCTCATTGAACTGTTATTCACTAGTTTAGCGTCCATTAGCTTTTTTTCCTTTTTTGTGGTGCTGGGGATTAAACCCAGGGCATTTTCACTAAGCTATGTCCCCAGCCCTTATTTTAATTTTTGAGACGGGCTCCCTACGTTGCTAAGTTATCCAGGCTAGGGTCGAACTCGTGATCCTCCTGCCTCAGGCTCCCAAAGTGACAGGATTACAGGCATGCACCACTATGCCTGGCTGTTAGATTTTCTAATCTTTTTCTCTTTTTGGTACCAGGGATCAAACTCAGGACTTTGCACTTGTGAGGCAGTTGCAGTGCCACTGAGCTAAATCCCCAGCCCCTCCTTTTTCTTATGATGTATGCAAGCCTACTATGAGGAAATACATTACCTTTTTTCTCACCTACTTTCATTAGTATGAACTCATGGTTTCTAATTTTAATGAATTAAAAACTGATTGTTATTACTTATTTTGATGCTCAGATTTTTCTAACTTTGGCCTGTCAGAGCCTTCTCAAATTAGCTATTTTTTTGTCCTTTGTCTACTTCCTTATTTCCTGATCCAACAAGGAATTGTAGCTTCACCTTGTACTTTTTTCTGCCCTAGCCTTTGTATCAGCCTTTCCTTCAATTGATTTTTGTATACTGATCCCATATCTTGGGATCTTGCTAATTCACTTTTTAGTTCTAATATTTTTTGTCAATTCCTTAAAACTTTCTATTTAAATCATCACATACCTGTAAACAGAGACACATTTTCTTCTTTTCTAATCTCTCATTTTATTTTTTGCATTACTGAACTGGCTAGAAGTTCCAGTTCAGTACTTAAGAGCAGTGAGCAGAGCAGCTATCATCTCTTTTGTTTTGTTTTTTGTTTTTTTTGAGATAGGGTCTCAGTAGGCAGTTCAGGCTGTCCTTAACTCACTATGTAGACTACACTGTCCTCAAAGTGATCCATCCTCCTGCCTCAGCCTCCTGAGTGCTGGGATTACAGGCATGCACCACCATGCCCTGCTGAGCTATCATTTCTTACAATTTTTTTGGAAAACATTTAATACTTTATCAATTTTTTGTTCTTGTTATTTTTTGAGACAAGGTCTCTCTGTGTAATTCAGGCTGATTTGAACTCACTGTGTAGCCCAGGCTGGCCTCAAACTCAAAGTGATCTTTCTGCCTCGGCTTCCCAAGTGCTAGATTATAGCCATGCACCACCATACTTATCACTTCATCAAATTTTATGTTAGCTGTAATTTGTCTTAAATTCTCTTTATCAATGAATCCACATAGCTTAAATTGTGGAAACTAAAACAGGAATCCTTCCACCTTCCTCACCTTCCCAACCTAAGGCTAACATGACTTTCATAAAACTTTAAATAAAGCTAATAAATTAAAATTGCCCATCTTAGTAGCTTTTGTATATATTAAAAAAAGATCATAAATTTCTTTGTAACCACATTTTTCACTGAATATATTATATGCACTTCCATGTCATTAAATTTTATTCTACTTCTTTGTGTGGTACTGGGATTGAACACAAGGCCTCACATATGCAGGCAAGTGCTCTTCCACTGAGTTACATTCCAAGCCCTTTCTAAATTTAAAATTTTGAGACAGGGTCTCAATACACTGCCAGGTTTTCCTTAAACTTGTAATCAAGCCTCCTGCCTCACTCAGCCTCTTGAGAAGTGGGGATTCCAGGCATGTGCTGCTAGCTTCCTTTTTTGGGGGGGGGGGGTACTGGGGATAGAACTCAGGACCTTGCACTTGCAAGGCAGGTGGCAGCACCACTGAGCTAAATCCCCACCCCCTAGCTTCCATTTTAAAATCAGCTTCTAAAACTTTAGCTTTTCTTTTTCCCTCTAAAGCTGTTGGAATTTCTACAGCAGTATTCACTTTTTCATCATTCCAAAAGATCCTTCTAGTAATGTCAACAACAGGGTTTTGAGGGTTTTTTGGGTCTCATATAACCCTACCATGGACCACTGGCACAGGCTTACATAAACTCACACACCTACTATGGCCACTTTGGCTGAAGGGACAAACTAAGATCACTTCTGAATGGTTAGAATTTATTAGGTACCAAGATGCGCTTTGGTGGCTTTACTCAGAACATATATAAACACAAAAAATACAGATCTGTTGGCAAAAACTGGTAGGTTTAAGAGTCCGCAGCAATCTGTTTTCCCCCTTCTCTTTACCTTAAACTAATAATTTGAAAACTTTTCCTGATAAGAAATGGCTGATTTCCCTGACATTTTATGATCACTAATATGGAGAGACTGCTAAATTTTAAAACCCATAGTGGAACGGGGAATCCAGTTTCTTCCAGTGAGCAACAGGGAAGTAAAGCCATGCAAGACCTCAGGACCTGCTAGTCATCTTAAGACATAATCACTGAGCACCTGCCATGTGTACTGCTATGCTTCAAAGGAAGTGGTGGATAGTTTACTGAGTGGGATATGGCAGGAAGATCTTGCAACACAGATCCAAAAGCAGTTCCCCTTCAAAGCTTAAAAGTGTAACACTTTGGGCTTCAGGCGATTCCACTTTTTCCTCAGTTCCGATCTGGTGCTGTCAGAAGCAAAGATATAGCTGATGGACTCATAAGACAGATCCCACACTTGAGACTGGGTCAATTTAAATGTTTCAGCTGCCAGCTGGTACTCTTGAGAAAGGCAGGTTGCAAAAATGCCCTTATCATCAGTCTGCCAACAGAAACAAGAAAATTTCAAATTAAAGAAGGAAATGATTTTTTAAAAACAACTTTTTGTTTAGAATATATTTTTTCCATCTACCCTGCTTTTCAAGCATCTAAATGGGGGCTACAAAATATGTATCTATGCCTATCTATAACTAGAGACTCTTTTATACTTAAAAAATACTAGAGCAGCGTTTCAACCTTGGCTGCATATTAAAGTCACCAAGGGAGCTTTTAAAACACACCCAAAAGGGCTGGGGATTTAGCTCAGTGGCACCATGCCTGCCTCGCAAGTGCAAAGTCCTGAGTTCAATCCCTGGTACCAAAAAAAAAAAAAACAACCACATCCAAGCCCAGGACTCACCCTATATCAAATAAAGTAGATCTCTTAGAGTGCAAAGAGGGCATCAGTTTTGTTTTGTTTTTTAAGTTCCCCAGATAATGTCCAGAACCCCTTTCCACAGAGCCAAGCCAGAGTCTTCCTGGCCCTCTGCAGCCCCCAATGGCCCAGTACCCTCTAAGTCTTCTACCTGGGCATTCCCCTCAGGTACTCAAGGGAGTCGGCTAGGTAGTAAATGTGTGACTAATTCAATGCAGCAAATAAAAAGGAGCAAAATACTTCACATAAAACATCTTACACAGATCACAGATGGATGAGAAATGCTGTACCAGAATCCGAAGTGATGCTGGTCGTAAGATGGAACTGTCTGACTTTTGACGTTTGAAGTCAAACAGAGTTCTAGATGGAAGTGGATAAAATCTTAGTAAACTCATTCAATGTTCACCAAGCAGACTCATGAGAAATCATTCCAAACCAAGCTGATTTGCAGCACTTTTATTATTTTACAAACCTGATCATTCCTTATATGTGATGTGAAAAGCTGTGGTTCTATTAATGTAGTTGTCCAGGAAGTATGTACTGCAACTATGGCAGCACCTATACCAGGCAGGGGATTAATATGATCTTCTCATCCAGGTGCTTCCCTGCCTTTTACCACAGTGGAGAGGAATGTTATAAGCCAGTCATGATGAACAAGGCGGGGACTTATCATGAAAGGGAAGCAGAAGGGTTTTTTGTTTTGTTTTTTGCCATACTGGGGACTGAAACAAGGATCTTCACGTTGAGCTTTATTCCTAGGGTTTTTTTATTTTGAAACAGTATTTTGCTAAGTCACTAAGTTGCCCAGGCTGGGTCTGAACTTGTGATCCTCCTGCCTGGGTCTCCTAGAGTACTGGGGTCACAGATGTGCAGCACCACGCCCAGCTGCAAAGGGTTTCTGCAGACATTACTGCAATTCCTCCTAGTCTTACAGCGGAGACCAAAACAAAAGCACTGCTTGAGAGTCACAGCACTGGAAAGAGCAAAGAATGGACATGGAGTTTCCCATGGCTTTTAAGAAAACTCCTGAATATCTCTGCCCAGACCACCAGCACCACCTCCTCCCCCACCCCCATTCACTGCCTGCTGCTTCTAGGTAAGTCTATTTTAAGAATGACTTTTACTTCTAACAGACTCTTACCTGAAACACTGTCCACAGCTCCATAATAAAATGCTTCACCAACGTAACCAATGCAAGGCAGCCTCAACACAAGACCACTCAGTCCAAGAGATGTCCCTCACTGTGCTGGGACCACAGCTCGGCCACCATACCACATAAGATCACTATGAAAGAGCTCTGTATTCTCTCTACTTTTGTGAATGTTTAAAAATCTTAGTAAGAAAATCTGCACTTCTTATGAATTGCTAAAAACCTCTGCAAATAGTTAAAAAACATATACTCACATATTTCTGTAAATCAGTGAATTTATAAATTTAGCAAATTGACCAGTAAAATGATTTGCAGCCAATCACTTCCCGCTATGAAGACTTTCTCTTTCATTCTTCAGAAAGGTGGTTATCTGATCACTCCTATATCAGCCCGTTTAATTTACTTCACAGAACTTAATGCTATTTTCTTGTGTATTTGTTTACTGTCTTCTCTGCTGAAATATGAGTTCTGAGAAAGAAACCCCATCTTTTTTGTTTACTGCCCTATTCCCAGCAATGAGAGCAGTGTCCGTAACAGTAGGCATTTAATAAACACAATGACAATCAAGTATGTAACAGTCAATGAATATGTAAAAACATTTGGCATTTTCCATAATTCTAAATTTAAAATAAATATTACATTATTTTCACAACACATTAATTTTATTAAAGTTAATTTCAAAGTTCTCGATTCCCTTATTCCTTCAGAAAAGACCTCCTGAGTCCTAAACATTGGGGACTGTAGCAGTAAAAAGCCAGACAGGCAGCCTACCCTCAGGGAGTTCATAGTCTAATGGGAGGTGAAACTTTCCATGAATTAAATGAGGCTCAGAAGGCACATACATCATGTCTTTGACTTTCTGAATGCTATTTATAATTTTAGAACAGCACTTCTTCACTTCTGGCTTGCCTCCTGGGCTGGGGAGGAAAGCTCAGAGGCCATCTAGGAGACCTAAAACCCTCAGCCTTACCAAGTGGTATCCGATGCTGCCTTACAAAGTTCACCAGATCCAGGGATCCTCTCTCAGAGGAGGTGAGAAATGTTCCGTGCCCAATTCTGTCAGGAAGCAGATCCAGGAGCATCTGGGTTTCTTCTTTTTGGTTTGGAATCTTCAGAAAAGTGAGAAGTGGGTAATCACTGACCCCTTTTAGTGGTTCCTGAAGTATTGTTTTCTATAGTGGGCCCCTATCCCTCTGAGCAGTTAATGCAGACATTTTTGTGTGTTCTTTCTTGAGACAGGATCTTGCTATGTAGGTAACAGTGGCCTCGAACTCAGTGTTCCACTTGCCTCAACCTCCTAAGCACTGGGATTACTACACCTGGCTTGACATTTTTAGAAAGCTAAACTACTCATACTACTTCCCCAGCTTTTGTCTTTGTCTTTGCCTTGTTTGTGTGTTGGTGCTGGGATTGAACTCAGGGCTTCCTGCATGCTAAGCCTGAACTCTACCATCGAGCTACACACTCAGCCCCTTCTGCCTATTATCTTCTCATTCCTTCCCCAACATTCTTCTAAATTCATTTCAGTAACCCTAAAACTTATCAAGACCCTACTTTGTTCCTTTTTCACATCGATTCTTTAAGGCCTCACAAGAATCTTATCAAGTGTTAAGATGACAAAATTAAAGCACAGAAAAAGTAATTTTCAGAAAACAAAACAAAATCCCACAACTCTGCAGGTATATGTGTGTTCTGCATTGTATATATGTGTTCAAATATATTAGAAAAAGGTCTAAGTTTGATCCCCGGTACCAAAAAAAAAAAAAAAAGAAAAAAAAAAGAAAAAGGTCTGGAAAAACAGACAAAACTGTTAACAGTATTAACTCTGAAGAGTTAACAGGAGGGGACCTTTCTTTCTGTCTGTCTTTCTTTTTTGCTATATTATACTTCCTTCCAGATATGGTTTAGATCAAGAAGATCCCTTAAAGGTCTCATGCCCTCATAGATGGGGCTTTTGGAAGGTGAGTGATTATGGGGACACTCCTTGCTGTTAGGAGGTGAATCCTAGTTAAAGCAGGTTACTGGGGGCGTGACCTGGAAGGGTATATCTACCTCCCCAGACCTCCCTTCTCTCTCTGCTTCCCGGCCCCCATGTGAGCAGCTTTTCTTCTGTTAGGCCTTCTGCCAGGTTGTTTTCCGCCTTGGAGCCAGTCAACCATAGAGCATAACCATGAGCCAAAACAACTGTCTATGTCCGGTATTGTGTCTCAGTGACAAGAAAGTGACTAAGACATCTACACCTGAGATTTCTTCAGGTACATACAACTTTTAAACATAAAGTATTTTTAAAAAATTGTCCAAGGTCATAGAGTAGTGAATAGTAAAAGTAGGGATAAAATCTAAACTCCTCCTGACTCCAGAGCCCAGACACTTCCCATAGCATGCTCATGTTTTATCTTGACCAGGCTAGCTACAGACATACCACAGTTGTTATGAAAATGTCTGCTAGACATTTTCTCTACATATCCCCAAAACAAATGCTCAGAACACCTTGAAATGTGATTATTTTATATCCGATGGCTCAAACAAGCAAAGCAACAGAAACTATGGTAAACAGGTCCCAGTATTGTGCACAGGCCAGAGATAACTTGTCACAGTAACACAACGCTGTTCCACTGTGCTGACCAATGGCTTCTACTGGGCACCACCTAGGTCAACTAGAGGGTGTCCTGTGAGTGAAAGGTCTGTTTGATTAGACTGGAGACGCAGACTTTAGATCTATGAATGATACATGTACTGGCAAGAGGTTCTAATTTTTTTCCTTAATCTTTATGTTATGATGCTACTCAGCCTGTATACATTTCCCCATTTAATACTTATAATAACCTTATGAAGAAATTTAGTAAGTTTTCTTTTCTTTTTTTTTTTAGTATCAGGAATCAAATTCAGGACCTTGTGCTTGCCAGGCAGGCGCGGCACCACTGAGCTACATCCTGGCCAGTAGTTATTTCCTGCATATAAGAAATAGCTAAAAATACTGAGGTAGAAAAAATTCATCTATAAAATAAGGAAAAGAGCAGTAGAGGGCCTTGTTTGCCTCACAGGGATGTGCTTAAGATAATATGTGTTTCTAGCCATTACCTGTATGCTGTCACTCTCCTCATGGTGCCATGGAGCTGAGGACTAATGAAGAACTCTAGATTTCATTTCTAAGCTTCCCCCAACACTAGCCTGTTCTAAGCTTTATATTATGATGATGAGCTATTTTATTGCCAGTGTATGTGATACATTTAGGTCTGGTCCACTATGAGGACAGGTGAGGTGAACTAGTGCTTTTCTTAAGAGTCAGCTTGTTGGGCCGGGAATTTAGCTCAGTGGTTCTGCCGCCTGCCTCGCAAGTGCAAGGACCCGAGTTCGATCCCCGGTACCAAAAAAAAAAAAAAAAGAGTCAGCTTGTTAATGAGCAGGTGATGGTGAAAATTCATGCAGCTTCTCTAGCAAGATGTCATGAAGCTATTTGTAATGACACAGCTGGAATTCAAGTCAACAGCCACTCCCAGAAAGTTACAACCACAGAAAGTTAAGAACAGTAACAGGAGACACTAATGCCAAGTCATGTACTATCATTTTAATTTACATTTAAAAATAATTCTGTTCTCCCACTTCAAAAATGTTTTCCCAAGCCAGGTTTATTTCTTTTTTTTTTTCCAGGTTTATTTCTAGTTACTTGAAAATGACCCTTCTGTTTTCTGTCATAGTTTGCCCTCTCCAGCCCAAGACAGCACTGCTTACCTCTGAAAGATGTAATGCCAACTTTAGGCCTGCTCTTTTAGCTTCTAAAAGTGGTTCCAAGAAGTCTTTTGCTTGTCCTATCTTAAAGATAAAAGTTAAAATGAGAATTATGGGCAGACCAAGGAACTGGGTATTCTGCTCCAATAAACAAAAGAATAAAATGACAGCAGAAAAAAATAAAGACAGACTGATTTATTTGCACATTTTTGTTTATGGAGCACTTACAAGATGCTAGCCACTTTGGAGAATAAAATGCTGGCAATGGCAGAGTCCTTGCCCTTAAGAATCTTTAATTCCATTATCAGTGGACCTCAGGTCAATTACCTAAGGTGGATATGGCAGTCACCAAATTTTATTTCTGGAAAGACATCTAGATATTTATTGCTAAGGACAGCTCACCTGATTCAGGAACCTTACATAAGCACTAAAAACTATTACATGGATAGACGAAAACAGGAGCAGAACAGTTCAGGTTTAGACAAAGCCATCAGAACGAGCTTCATAAGCCTCTCTCATCCAGTGGTTTTCAACCAGGAACAATTCTGTGGTCTAGGGGACGTTTGTTAGGGTCTGAAGACATTTTTGGTCGTTGTATTTGGTGGGTGCTACTGGCACCTAGTGGCAGAAACCACAGATGCTGCTAGATAGCCTATAATGCATAGGGCTCCCCCTCCCCTGCCCCCACCCCAGCCCCAATTTTCTGGCTAGGAATATCAAGACTTCTGTCTGGATGTGCTCATTGCTCAGCTATATTCAAATAGCTTAGTTTTTATTTTTCAAATGTTCATTAAAAACTTGTACATTACATACTAAAATGCTTTTTTTTCTTAATAATAAAACACTTTAAAAAAAAATTTGAAGACTTCTGTTTGGAACTTTCACTCAAGCAGCTCTGGCCTACTTTTCTGAATTAGGGGTCCTATGAGATAATTAAACCTTAATGCCCTAAGACATTCCTCCACTATATGTAATGAATTAATTTCTCTCCTGTACATACAGATTGGAACTATTTGTGTGTACCATCTTTAACAAAATAGAGAAAATGGCCAAATATAGACAGGAAAATATTGTTTTTAGGGTGCTTTATTTTTGCATAGAACCTTGGTTAAGAACAGCTGCTCTAGACATTCAGTTCATCCAAGGCAGAACAACGTCTGCTGGACCTTCTGGAGAATCAGGATGCTCTAAGTTAATCCTTACCTCACCGATTTGACCTTCAAGAAACAAAATATATTTAGGAAAAATAACTTACAGTAGGATCTCCACTGAGGTCAAGGCCAAGAACTGTATCCTCGGCAGAAAGGAAGAACTCTTTTGCAAGTTTAACAATCTCCTTGGCTACCACAGGGCCACCTCTTCTGTCAACTGCTATCAAATACCTTTAATATAAGAACACAGTGGAAAATGATTGTGTGGATGAAAAAGACAATTCTAAGTGTGGGTAAAGAGGCATCACAGGATGCATGTAAAATAGGTTACTAGCTAAAGTACAGCCTGAGTCTAGATAACACATTTGCCAGACGATAGGAGACAGAAACTTCTAAATACTAGTGTCAAGTATCATGCCACTGTTCAAATTTCCAGTTGTCTCACATTCTTACTTGTTTACGCATTTGTCTTTTTACAGTTTAACTTGGGATCCTAACACCTTGTGTTAGTCAGTGTACCTCTTAGGTCTCTTTAAATCTATAGTCACTCATTCCTTCCTGCCCCATCCTCTTTTCTTAGAATTTATCTGTAGAAAAAAAATCAGTTTGTCCTGTAAAATTTCCCAGTTTGGATTTTGTTGATTGTATCCCTGTATTAACATATTCTCCTGCCTCTTATTATTCCTATAAATTGATCCTTAGACCTAGTCTGGAAGCTTAATCAGATCAAATTCAAGTTTTTGACAAGAATAAATAGGTGGTGGTATATTCTCAGGTGGCTCAGGTTGATTATTTTATTAGGAATTATAAAATTAGTAATATCCTAATTCTAAACTATCTTATATAAATTCATTCTTCATATATTAGCTAGAATTCTGTAGAACTCAAATATCCCCACGCCCCATAAAAACCCTGTAATTTTGTGAATTTTCTCTAGCATTTATTAGTTTGGTTACTTATTTACAAAATAAATTCTTTACAAAATCTGGATCAACTATAAAGAAAAGTCTCAGTCTTTCTTTTTTTATTCCATTTCCCATGCATTAAGTAGTGTTACAAAATGGAATAAATCATATGAACATTCCATAATGTAGTTGTCCTCTGATGGACATTTTAGGATGTTTTTTACGTTTTGTTATAATAATAGTGCAATAGAGTCTTATGTATAAATCAACCTATTTTCTTAAGGTCCATTTGTAGAAAAGAATTACTGGGTTGGAAGGAAAAACTTGAAAATCTTGAAATATTCCTCTTTAAAAAGGTTTTCTTGATTATATTTGGCATGTTATAAATTCACAAACTTTCACAAATCTTTGAACTACTAAAACAACACTGTAATATCTCCTTTTAAAATTATCTGATTAATGAGGCTAAATCTTTTCTATACATTTATTGACTATTTGTATGTCTTCTTTTCTGCATTCTATTCTTGTTTCTGGCTTGGTTTTTACTAGGGTACTAGTCTAGTTAGGCTTAATTTTTAGATATCCTTACAGCATAAAACTATACAGCTAGGTGCTTGCTTGCTTTGTTCAGGGTCCTATTGAGCCCAACTATGTGCCAGCTATGTTCTATGTATTGGAGACATGGTGGTAAATGAAAGATAAGGTCTCTGACCTCTCTGAACCTATATTCTAGAGGATGAGTATGTATTAAAAAATAATACAAGAAAATTATTGTTATAAATGAATGCTATAAAGGAAAAAAGATGGGTGACCAGATACAATGTCCCAGGCTAAGGCAGGAGGATCACCAAGTTTGACGCCGGGGCAACCTGGTAAAACCCTGTCTCAAAATAAAAAATGAAAAGGGACAGAGATGTAGCTCAGTCATAACACGTGTGAGGCCCTGGGTTCAACCCCCAGCACCAGAAAAAAAAGATAGACAGAGACACAGACAGAGAGAAAGCAAGCAATGAGAAACCAAACAAAAAAAATTCAAAAAAAACACAAAAAACACTTCAGGACTTTACTGCCAGACAAATAAATTTGGACTTCTCATCTTAAACAACAGAGTTCTTTATTTTTTTCTGTTATAGGTAGAAAGTTATTGGTTGAGTTTTTAAAATCCATTATATATACCTATGATAAAAACAATAAAACTTCATATTCTAGATTTTAAAATGGTAACTCTTGAGGTACAATCTTCTTACCTAACATCAATGTCTAAGTTTTCTTGTTTGGACTGTTTTATACCCTCAAGTATAGATTCCACATAAGTCTTTTTGGTCATTCCTGGAAAGAAAACATAGGAAACATATGTCATGAGACCATCAACTACTTTACCCTTCAGTTCTAGTATATACGAACCCTACATGAACATTTATTTTTTCACTTTATGTGACAGGGGATGATTCAAGCTGAATGAAAATATGAGCCTCACAGGTACGTTTTAGTAAATGAAATTGTACTTTTAATACAATAGAAAAAAGGAAAAATGACATTTAAAAAACCCACAGAATATAAACCCATTTAAAAATTATTCTTAATTCAACAGATATAAAATTATTTTCACAAACTGCTATAAGAATTTTATATGCTCATTCTAACAAAACAAGAACAACCAGAAGTCCTTTGCTAAGTTCTACCTTTAAAAGAAAAAGATAAATTTTTTCTATTATCAGGATGTTTGTTTGCTGGTCTGGGAAAAAACAATCCACTGTGGGTTCCTTTCCCCTCAATCTTGCTTATGCTATTTCTCATCCAGAGGTCAGAGATATTCTGCCAAGTTCGAGTGCTCAAGTCCTATTCTGACAGGCTCTGCAAGAGCGCTCTCCAGAACAGCCTTCTCTAAAATACTCTTGCCCGATTATATAATGCTGATTTGGGATGGAAAGACTCTAGTAAAACACAGAAAATTATAAAGAAAAACAAAAATAACCTATAATCCCATCACCCATAGATAACCACAACTTTTTTTTGTAAGTATACATATGTACATTTTAAAATTTATTTTTGTTTTGTTTTTTGAGACAGGGTCTTGCTATGTAGTCCAGGCAGGCCTTGAACCACTGTGGCCCAGGCTGGCCTTGGGCTCACAGTGATCCTCCTGCCTCAGCCTCCTGAATGCTGGTATTACAGGGTTTTTTTGGATGGGGTACCGGGGATTGAACTTGGGTCCTTGCATTTGTGCAGCAGGTGGTGAAACCACTGAGCTAAATCCCCAGCCCAGGTGTTTTTTAATAGATGAGATAGCTACTAGATATATATGGACCCCGTTCAGTAATTTAACACTGGTGTATTGAGTATTTCTACATGCCATGAAAGTATCTTTGCAAGTATTTTTAATGGTTGCAGAATATCCCATTAGCTTTTACTTAACCATTCCCCCATTGTTGCATACCCTTGTGAATCTTCATTTGAAAAGAAATGTATCTCTACTAATTGGCAGGTTTCTTGTCTTTTGCTACCCTCACCAGCATAATTTGGAACTGATTTTACATTTGATCTTAGCCAAAAGGCCAAGAAGCAATGGAACTGATTTTATAGTTCAAAAATGCAAGGTAAGAATCTTCTCATTAGGCTGGGGATTTAGCTCAGTGGTTTTGCTGCCTGCCTTGCAAGCACAAGGTCCTGAGTTCGATCCCTGGTACCAAAAAAAAAAAAAAAAAAAAGAATCTTCTCATTATCTCATTTCAACAGTTACTATAATAGTTTTAAAATTTTAGCCTCCCCCCTCAGTGATTACTAGGTTACTCACAGTAGGGTTCAAGACAACCTAGGTCTCTTCAGGTCAACAGACCTGGTGATCCCGTGTAGTATCTCCTTGCACTGCTCTAACAGAAGGATGAGCCTATGAAATTCTTCCAGACAACATGCAGATCTGCTCATGTCCATCCAGAGAGGGTGTACAGCTGGTTCCTGTCCTAATAAACCACCAGTCCCTGAGGACTGAGGAGTGACTGAATAACCGACATTTCGGTGACTGCCACAAAATACGATTCTGTACCCATCAGTGGCAATGTCACACAAGTGCCCTCGACATAGGCAGCAAGGGAGTTCTGCTTGAGACAACTATACAGGATATACAGGATATAGGATTTTTCTGTTGACTGAGGCCCCATGAAAACAGAACCACACAACTATGTAAAGTTAGGTCTTCATACTTCCCACTGGCAAACACACAAAAGATCCCAGCGCACGGAGAAAGGGACAGCAATTCACTGAGAAGTAATTAGATTCTACCTGTAGCACTTTCGCTTCTGGGTGTGCTCCTCAGTTCCAAGTACTTGATACCATCATCAGCAAATTCTTTAATGACATCTTTTGTGACCTGATAATAGAGGCAACGTACATAACACTGATGTATCTGAGTGAGGGTCCCAGTGAAAATGGCAAGTGGTGCAGCTTCAATGAATGTGATTCTCCAAGGAATGCTGCAAGTCTCCCACATGGTGAAGTGCGCACCGTATCACACCTGTCATGGAGTCTAAGACAGAGCTGCACATTTCCAAACAGCTCTCATCACCTTCTTGACTCCACATTTAATCCAAACCTGTATACCAACCACACTTCACTACTCCCACCCTTTTTTTGTTTAATCTTCTTTTTTTAAGGCTGGCTTTATTTCTACACTTGCTCTTAGCCAAAAGGCCAAGAAGCAATTGGCTTTATTTCTTTCAAAAATATTTTTTAAAAATTTTTATTTAGTACTCTCCCACCCTTTTAATAATTTCTCTATTTCCTGGTGTTCCTATAGCAGATGGATATAACAGAGAAATGAGGCAAACCCAATTGGATTTTTTTTTTTTGCGGTACTGGGGTTTCAACTCAGGCCCTTCACGCTGAGCTATGTCCCCAGCCCTTTCTTATTTTTTAATTTGAGAAGGGGGTTGTGCCCTTAAATTACCTACTTGGCTTGAACCTGCAATCCTCCTGCCACAGCCTCAAGTGCTGGGATTACAGGTATGCACTACTACACCCAGTTTAGTTTGGAGCCCATTTTTTTTTGAGCCAGTTTTTGATGCTAGGAGATGTACAAGAAGAAATAAATAGCTACAATGATCTAGTGTTGCTGATGTAACGATGATGCATTATTGATACGCTATGGAAACTCATGGCTTAAGGTTTTTCTTCAAGTTACCTAGGAAGAGTTTTCTCTCTCCCCTCCCGCGCTCGCTCGGTCTCTCTTCCTTTCCTTTCTCTCTTTCCCTCCCCCTCCCTCCTCCTCCCTCCCCCCCCTCTTCTCCTCCCCCCGCCCCCCGTCTCTCTCTGTGTCTCTCTCTTTCTGTATAATCATGGCAGGTTATTCTTCCCCTGAAGAATTCAGGACCATTACTCTTAGGCAAAGAAAATGAGCAATATATAAGAGTAAAACTATATTTATTTTAGTATAAAACTTAACAATCTGAAAAATTACTGAAGGCAAGTTTTCCTTTTCAATCATCAATCACCAAGAAATTGCAATTGTAGGTGAGAGCCGAAGTTGAGGAGGCCACTACACCTGCCCTCATCAGCTCTTTGGCTGGTATTCTAATCTCAATCTGCTTTGCCTGCATGCACAGGGCCCTAACATAGGAACCAAGGCTGGCTGGTTGTACAGAGTGTCTAACAGGGTGGCACTCTCTTGGTCAACTCTTAGCAACTTGAGGAAACTCCATCTTTCTGCCACTACCACAGTGTGGGCCTTATCTCTGCAGGCTGAGAAACTTAAGATTTTGTCATTGCTCCAGAACTAAGGAGACCCAGAGGGATCAACTCACTCAACCCCTGCAAACAAGACTAACACAGAAACCCATCTGAGAACGGGGACAGGGCGGAAGTGAGGGTCTAAAGCAGCAGTCTTTTCTAGGGGCTAAAATGACCGTATCTGTTGTCCAAGGCCCTGTCTGAGTGGTTGTGTTGATAGCACATATGAAACAAGAGCACAGGGAGAAAGCTTCACCTGGGCCACAGTGCAGCCTGTGGAGTAATCTCTAACCCATTTCCAAGAACCTTTCCCTTGGGTCCACATCAGTGCCTGTCAGATACAGCTGCTTTGTGTCCCATGCAGTAGATTCTGAGGGCAATTCTTTGCTCTCCGGGCCTTCCTTTCTTACACTTCAAGGATAGAAAATCTTTTAGAGACTGAGTGCCAAAACTGCAACCCCAAACCTGCTTATTGTAGAGCGCCAACACTGCAATTCAACCTGAATGCTCAGCTCCTGGGGCACCTTGGCTCACATGCTGACAGAGAGGGCATTGTGTGCCTGCTGTGGCACATGTGCCATGTGTTCACCACCACTGCTCTCAACTGATAATATCTATTCTAATGCTTCCTCCAGATAGAGTACATCACAATTAGGTAAGTGCCTGGATAGGAAGGTGCACGGGCTCTGAAAGCAGAGACAGGCAATCTGTCTACCACATTTACTCTGTGGGTAGGGATGCTGGGAATTGAACCAAGAACCTTGCATGTGCTCTACCACTGAGCTACATCCCCACTTCCCCTCGTGTGTGTGTGGTACTGGCGATTAAATTTAGGCCTCCACACTTCTCCAATCCTCTTTTATTTTTTGTTTTCAGACAGTTTCTTGCTAAGTTGCCCAAGCTGGCCTGGAACTCATGATCCTCTTACCTTGGCCTCCTGAGTAGTTGGAATTACAGATGTGCACCTGGACCCCACTTAACCTCTTTAAATGTTTTCTCATCGGCAAAAAGGGAACAATAAAAATACCTACTTCACAGAGTAATGCTAAGTGCAGTCCTCGGCATATGTAATAGAAAATATTATTCCAGCCACATTCCAATCTTGTCTTTTTGCTGTTGTGCTCAGGTCTCCTTGACTAGAGTTTCAAGTGATACATATACTCAGATGACACTAACAAGCAAGTAATTTCTTACACCTTATTCTCACAGATGTTTCATACAGAATATGGGGCACCTCACTGTGATTCTCCAAACCATCCGCGGACCACTAAGTCATATGCACATAATCCTTACTGCTCACCTCATTTAAGAGCTTTTCACTAACCTTTGTTTTGAAATCAGTGAAGTGATAAGGCTGGTATTACTATACCCATGGAGTATTAAGTCTCTCAGGTCTGAAATTTCATCATTTTTCCCTGAAACACTAATCGGCAAAATGAGACTGTAAGCCCCTGTGGTATTTAACATTATCTGTTGAGTGACTAACCAGAGACTACCCTTTTGGGTTCCTATAAGTCACTGTGCATGTCTCTAACACAGAGCTTACCAATTATGTTAAATTTATCTGCTGACTGGGATGTGTGATAGTTAAGTGACTGTGTCAACTTGAGTAAGAAATGCCCAACTAAATTGAATCAGCATAGTTCTGTGTGTGGAAGATACACCCTAGGGGGATTGTCACCAGAATGTTATAAAAGCGAAATGAAGAAGGCTCACTTCTGCTTTTTCAGAGGAGCTCCAGTCTTCACCTTCACCTTGGATATCATCTCCTGGCTTCCACTGCAAACCCTCTGGCCTCCTGATACCGACTCACATGGGACACTACCCTGAGCTCCAGGCCTTTGACTGCACCCTTCAGATCTCCAGTGTGCAGACAGACCTTTTGCACTTTTCCACATGTGATTGTGGGGGGGGCCACTGTAACCCAATCTATAAATTCTTACATATTTTTGTATCTTTTAAATCTGTTTCTCTAGTAAGCACTGATACAGTATGTCTCTATAACTTGACTATAAATTCCTTAGGAACAGGAACTATAGCTATCTCTCTCTTTTTTTTTTTTGGTACTGGGAAGTGAATTCGGGTCCTTGCGCTTGCACAGCAGGTGGCAAAACCACTGAGCTAAATCCCCAGCCCTATCTCTTTTAATATACTGAAGTCTTTGATACAGTGCCTGGAATACTCTGAGCACTCAGTCGACCTTTGGTGAACTCGACAACTAGAGTCCTCTCTTCTAAAGATAATTAATGTACCTACTACTAATCAGAAAGATCAGTCTCGGCCAAGGAAGAAAATTTTTACTGGGCCAGTCCAAAGTTAGTTCTCCAGAAACACAGGTTATACTTTTTACTTTGCTTTTTTTCTAATGGTTAAGTATGGACAAGGTTTTGCTTCCTTCCACTTACAAAGACAGTATTTTTAAATGCCATCTTTTTTTTTTGTACCAGGATCAAACTTGGGTCCTTGTGCTTGCAATGCAGGCGGCGGAACCACTGAGCTAAATCCCTGGCCCTTTAAATGCCATCTTGAGGCTAAATAAAGCACTTGCCGAGCATTGCAGGCTCTTGGGTTTGGGTCATAGCATTGGAAAAATGAATAAATAAATAAAATAAAATGCATCCTGGTCAGATCAATGATACAAAAACCAGTATTCAACGTCAGACTCTAGAATCATGGAGTTTCAGATAACGTAGTAATGTCTTCCAGTCCTCAAAGAGAAAGCACAATTTTCCTGGGGATTAATCACTCAATTTATAAGCACTTTGTGAATTTCATTCTCTCCAATGCCTACCCAGGCGATTAAAAGTTTCCAATGAAGGACCTGAGTTCAATACCTGGTAACAAAAACAAAAAAATGGAAGTTCAATATTTTAGGGGCCGGGGATTTAGCTCAGTGGTTCGGCCGCCTGCCTCACAAGTGAAAGGACCTGAGTTCGATCCCTGGTACCAAGAAAAAGAAAAAGAAAAAAGTTTTCAATGGGACACAGATAAAGCCTTATCAAGGACATGCCCATATGAGGTCAAATATTTCATATGTTATGTTGCATACAGAAAACAGGACCAAATTTTCTCTTCCATATCATCCTCTACCCAGTAGAAGATGTTGCTATTGGTTCCTTCCTCATGTCTTTTACAATGAACATATGTTTTTTGTATTTTACCTATTAGGACTCACAGTGGTTTTGAAAAGAGTTGCTGTAAAAAAGAAAAAAACATTTGTCATCAGGCTCTTGATGAAAGCAAAAGATCATATGCAACAACAGAAAAGCCTGTAATCCCAGCATTCAGGAAGCCAAGGCAGGGTGATCACCACTCAAGTCCAATCCAGGATACACAGTGAGTTCAAGGGCAACCTGGAATACTACATAGAGATCTGTCTCAAAAAGCCAAAACCAGCCACCTGCCTCCCAAGCACAAGGCCTCAAGTTCAATTCCTGGTACCAAAAAAACACAAAAAAACCAAAACCAAATTAAACAAAAAACCCAGAAGGACATAAATTAGTTTATAATCCTTAAACCACTCTAAAATTTCCTTCATGTCTCACCATTAGAATATCTTCAGGCCCAGTAGTAAGCTGATGAATAATTTGAAACATCTGGAAACATCTGTTAATATGAAAGAAAAGTTTTAATATACTTTCATCATCAAAAACTTGTTACTCAAGAGAAACTCCCTACACTGAATTAACTACTAGATTTTAGGCTAACAGGAGGTTTATATATTAAGATTTACAAAAACCTACCCGATGTTTTTCAAACCATTTTTCTGTCGTTCTAGAAAGATAATCAAATGGCTGAAAATTAAACGTTATTTATATTTTTAAGTGTAAAATAATAGTCCCCATTTTTCTAACCCCACCCCTCCAGTTTCCCCTGCCTGGGGAAAGTCAATACACCTATAGTTTCAAGTCTAGAAGCCAATAACTTCACCAACAGTATAATCATTAAAAATACTACCAACATTCTGACAGTTGGAAAAATACTCTTATGTTAAGTTCTATTCTCTCTGCCAGATACTGACTACTCCTTTCACCCACTAAAATCTGAATTTTTATACATTACTAATTACAATCTCAAAATACTAACAGACCAAAAAAACCCCAAAAGTATTTCCTCAACCTCCTCAAACTCACTCTTCTAAAGTTCTTTTCTTTCCTTTGTCAATCACAGTCATCTGATTGTTGATGTCAAGATTTGGCTTCTTGGCTATTAATTTCTTCATGGTATTTGAACTAATGGATCCATTCAAGTGGGCATGAAGTTCCTAAAACAAGAGGCTATAATCAATAAAACTTATCCAGTATCTGACAGACTCACAGCATTATACCATGTACGTGAAAGTTTTAGTTTGCACTAGGAAAACTACATATTAGATTTGAGCTATACAACTGCTAAAGTTTATAAATTCTACTCATAAAATTTACTTTTCTTTTGTGAAAGAAACAACGTAAGGCTGAGGATGTAGCTCAATGGTAAAGCATTTGCCTAACAGGCTCAAGGACCTAGGTTCAACAAACAACAAAAAAACCAGAAAGGCCATTATAATTAGCAACTCTTCAAGAATTTGGTAATTGATGTCTCACCACTTTGGGCAATTCTGAGTAAAAGTCTGTCATCCATGGCTGCTGCTGTTCTGCCTCCATGATCTCAGCAGGAAAAAGTGGTCCTTTTCCACTCTTATATTTCAGTAAATTCTGTGTTCCTGGATTTTCTTCAGATTGCTTCCACACATTTTCATAAGATCGGGTGTATATATAGTTCTGGGTTCAATTTCATCTATTTTAACAAAAATGAATATGTTCAGATGATGGCATACAAGCAAAAAACAAAACAAAACCCCAGAATTTTGCTAATTTATTCTTTAAAAGGCAAAAGCCCTTCCAAAACTTTTTTTTTTGTGGTGATAGTGGTAATGGGAATTGAACACAGGGCCTTTGCACTGAGCTACATCCCCACCCCTTTTTTATTTTGAGACAGCGTCTTGCTACATCACCAAGTTGCTCAGGGTAGGCTTGAACTTGTGATTCTGCTGCCGCAACCTCCACGGTTCTGGGATTACAGGTGTGCACCATCATCCCCAGCTCCCAGAACTAACTTAAATGTGTGTGAGGTAGGGAAATGATCAGTAAGCAACATGGACAAGAAATAAGGAAAGGCCTCAAGCTAGTAAGAAGTGTATTAAAATGTGAAATATGGTAGTGCATTCCTTGCCTCTTAGCACTTTCTATAAAACAACTTCAAATATTAGAAATTTTGTTAAGTCCTATTTTGGGTAAAAAATATTAAACTTACATTTTGACTGATTAGACTATATCAAGGAAGAGCAGAAGCATGGAGTCAGATGGACCTAGGTTTGCCCTTTCATCAATTCTGCATTCTGGCATCTTTGTGGCCTGAGTCAGTTATCCTCATGGCTCCGGTGTCCTTGTTTGTAGAAATGGGATAAAAATGCAGAGTAGCTATGAGGATTAAGAAGTAATTAAAACTCTTCTATGTGCCGTATGAGCCCACCGGTGACAAACTAACTCCCCTGTTTTTAAGACCAGAAACCACTGGGCCAGTCTACCACCCTGCTCCCTAGCACAGTGCTGGTACACTGCAGGTGGGAAATCATCCCGCATTTTTCTTTACTTCTGAAATATTTCCAGTGAAATTGAGTGATTTTCAAAGTAGCCACCTTGACCCTCTGGGTTCTCACGTATTACAGGTGACGATGTTAAGAATAGCTGTTTGGGGCCGGGGATTTAGCTCTGTGGTTCCACTGCCTGCCTTGTAAGCACAAGGTCCCAAGTTCGATCCCTGGCCCAAAAAAAAAAAAAAGAATAGCTGTTTCCATGTATTCAAAACCCACCAGATTTGTGGCAAGCATGTTTAATAATATTATCTTTAATTCTCACAATAACTTTAAAAATTATTACCACAATAAAAATTAATAAATTCATACTGACCAGGGATAAATAAGTTATCAAGATATTGAAATGTTCAATAAAGAAAAAAGGAAATGGTTTAGCCAGGCATGATGGTGCACACCTGCAATCCCAGCTACTGGGGAGGCTGAGGCTGGAGGATCACAAGTTCAAGGCTAGCCCAAGCAACTTAACAAAACTCTGTCTCAAAATAAAAAATAAAAATAAAAATAAAAAGTGCCAGGGATGAAGCTCAGCACTCCCTGGGTTCAATCTCCATTACTACAGAAGAAAAGAAAATAGTTTGGGAAGGATCAAACAGACCCATAGGAAGCCACAGGAAAACCAAGTCAGTATGAGATGAAAGTGACATTTCAATGGACTGCAAAGTGCGTGCTGCATAAAGAGTAACAAGTGGAAAAGAGGCACTATTTAATCGACAATGTTTAATATCGCTACTGAAAAAACTTCACTGAAGTGGAAAACATATCTATTCTTGCACAAGTAACATCAACCTACCATAATTTTTTAAAATTTTGTGCTAGAGTCTTCCAAAGTTGCGCAGGCTGTCCTCAAATACGCAATCCTCCTGCCTCAACTTTCCAAGTAGTCGGGATTACAGGCATGTGCCATCATGCCTGGCAATCTACCAAAAACTGACTTACATCTTGAGCATCCCTCATCCTAAAAGGCTTGCAGCCAGTAATGTTTCATACTTGGGAATATCTGAATACAAATGAGATGTTTGGGGAATTGGACCCAAACCTAAATATGAAATTCATCTGTTTCACATACACATTTCACACATAGCCCAAAAGTATCTATTTATTTGGTCTTTTGAGACAGGGTCTGCTATGCAGTCCAGGCTGGCCTTGAACTCACTGTGGAGCCCAGGCTGGCTAGTACTCAAGGTCCTCCGGCCTCAGCCTCCCAAGTACAGGATTACCATGTCCAGCTCAGAACCAATTGTATACAATATGTTTAACAATTTTGTGCATGAAACAAAATTTCATAGTATGGAATTTTCCACCTGGAGCATTATGTCAGTGTTCAAAAAGGTTCAGATATTGGGGATTTCAAATTTCAACCAAGCATGCTAATGCATGCCTGTAATCTCAGCACTCTGGGAAGTTGAGGCACGAGAGTCACAAATTCAAGCTTATCCTGGGCAGCTTAGCAGCTTAATGAGACCCTGTCTCAAAGAAAAAAAGTGGGGGTTGGGAAAGCAATTCAGTCAAAGGTCCTGGGTTGAGTCCCCAGTTTCAAACGTGTGTGTGTGTACACACATACACATATACACACACAGATTTTCAGATTAAGAATGCTTAACATATATAAAGTAAATGTTAATAAAAATATTCCAAAAATTACTCCTAAAAATTCATTTTAAAGTTCACATGGTAGACTTAACTTGTAAAAATATCCAGAAAAAAAATTCTAAACCCCAGAATACCCAACACTGGTAAAAGTATGTGTTAAAGCTGGTGGGAACAAAACTTGGTAGTGTTTTTAAGAAACAATTTGGCAACATATATTGTAAAAACAAAAAAAAAAAAAATCCACATTTTTTAAATTCAATAACTTTTATGAATTAATCCTGTATCTTATACAATACGTATTTTTTTCAGTCAATAACTTTATTAGAAAAAAGATTAACACTAAAACTTTTAATGACACAATCAACTCTGTAACAGAAAGTCAGACATACTTTATTTTCACTTCTATATCCAAAGGCTAAGTATAACAGAGTTGTAAAAATGGAATACCACTTAGTCTGATTCATGAGAATACTAACGTGTAATCCTGTTTGCAAAGTTCAAGAATGAAAACTTGCAATTAGACACTGACCAAGCCACATGTTTAGGTAATATTTCTTAAAAAGTCTTAAAGAAAAAATATGATACAGGACCTAAGTTTTCAGTGGCGAGTATGCTATTAACACATGTTTGGAAATCTGGTGGGTCACATCAGCTCTGAATTAAATTTTAATTAAAAAATAAAAACAACTAACTAAGCTTTATACATGTTGATCTTCACGTTGTTGTTTTTCAGTATCTTCAAGAAATCTTCGAACAGTAATCCTGTCTGATCTGAGGTCTTATCAGATCAGTTTTAACTGGACTGTCACTTTCAGATTTAACTGGTCCCATTGACCTCATTCTTAGTGTCACTTTCCTTTGATTCAGGATTTGTGTCTTCACTCTGTTTCTCTCGACTACTGGACTTCACACTACCTTTTTTTTGGTACTGGGGATCAAACTTGGGACCTTGAACTTGCAAGGCAGGCGGCGCCACCACTGAGCTAAATCCCCAGCCCCTTACAATACTTTTTTAATCACCAGATCCTCTCTTTTCTTTCTCCTTGGATTTTCTATCTTGTTCTCTATCCTGACTTTTGTTCCTATGCCTGTATAACTTTCGATCCCAACTGCCAGATCTATGTTTTCTTTCTGATCTGTCATGGCTTCTGCTTCTCTGTTAATTTCTTTCTTTTTTTAAAATTTTTTATTTTTTGGTACCAGGGATCGAACTCGGGACCTTGCACTTGCGAGACAGGCAGTGGAACCACTGAGCTAAATCCCCGGCCTTTCTCTGTTAATTTCTATTTCTGCTTCACCTTCTTTCCCTACTTTGTGATCTTTTGAGGTCCTCTGTGCTGCATCTCCAGTCAGAAGTTTGGCTTGAGTGTCTACTTCATGAACAACTTTCCTTCTTTTCTGTCATGAACTCTTTTTTTCTCTTTTCCTCTTCTCTTTGTCTTTTTCTTTCTCTTTCTTCTATTTCTCTCTCCTTTTCTCTTTCTTTTTTTTTTCGACACATCCCAATCAGGTTCTTCGGTTCTTTTTTTCTTTTCCTTTAATTCTTCTATAGCAGTTTAATTTTGGCATTGGCTATGTGTTGTTTTCCCATCAAATGATCATCTACCTGGGATTAGGCATCTCCTATTATCAAAAAATCTCCACAACCTTTACGAACTTCCATTTGTTTTTCTCAGGCAGCAAAACTTTCAGTGGTTGAAGCTGTGGATCTAAGTAATTCTCTCTCTTCTTTCAGCTGTTAACTAATTTCATCGTTCTCTGAGCTGCTTCTACCTTTCCTTCAGATCCTAATTCTTCAATCTGCCGTAGGAGCACATAAATTTGGTCTGTTAGAACCTGAATTTTTTCCTCATTTTTACCGGTTTGGCCAGCTGCCCCAGAGAACTGTTGGTTTTGAGATAATGCAAAACAAGCATGGCTTCCTCTGATTCTACATTCTGCTTCTGCAAGTAAGCTCTGTAAGTATCGCAAAAAATCTCTCCTATAGCTAACTGCCATGAAATGGGAACTCTTTTTCATACTGTTTTTGTAAATTTTCACCACGAATTTTTTCACATGCACCAAGTTCAGAACAAGTATTTATGAACAATTCCACAGGACAAAAACAAGAGGTAATATTTACAAACGCTCTTGTGGTCCCACTGCACATTTCTGTGCTTCTCATCCAAGGCATCTAAAGTCTGAAAACCACCCAGAGAGGCACAATATTTATTTATTTTTAAAAATTGCTGTTCCGTGCCAACAATACTGTGCCCTATCCAATCCAACCTTTCTGAGCTGGTTTTGGTGTGGGGCAGAAGAGAAACTGGCATGGGGTTGAGTGACCAAAAGGCAAAAGCACAGGAGAAAGATCTTTCTGTATCAGCAGTATTTTCAGATATAGTAGTGCCAGAACCAAGTTCCCTGTTTCCCAGGAAATTTTTCGTGTTCTTGTCCCCTCAAATAAGGGGATTCAGAATAAAAAATATTTCTATTATTTATAATGCATCTATTAGGAGTCAGCCATTGTGCTAAGTGTCTCAGAAGGTTATTTTAAATCCTCACAACAACCCATGAGGTATTACTGTCCCCACTTTATCTAAGAATAAGAAAAGTTTAAATCGTAAGGTACCCAAAATCACAAATTTTGCTCTATTCTTTTCTTCTTAAATCACTCTTCTTGATCAGGTGTTTACAAAAAAGTAATATTTTAACATAATATTTACATTTTACTAACTTATCATTAAACAAATTGTCTCTACAGTGCTATTTTTCCAGTCTTCCACCCCCTTCCCAATTTGGCCCTCAATCAGTCCTTAGAAACTGCACAAAGCACTCCTTCAACCCCTCATTTTAGAGATGAGGATCCAAAGACCCTGAAAGCTCATGTGAGTCCTTCTCCCAGCTCCTTTACAGACAATTCCAAAGTCCTCACATGTTCGCAAGATCCAAGTGCTTTACACTGACAACCCTGCCACTAACTTTCAGAGAAAACAGAAACCATCAGGCATGAATTCTATTTCTTTCTGCCCCACAGCTAAACTTACAGTCTTTTGAGTCAGAGAAACTCTACCAGTGAGTTATCTTATTTTTCTGTTCCTTCAACTTCTTCCTCTCTCCTGGTTTCCCTCAAGGACACATCACACATGTGCAGTATGTATTTGCTTCCTCCTGAAAACAAAAAAAGCCTCTTTAAATATTGCCCTGTTTCTCTTCTCCTTTTAAGCCAAGCTCCTTTGAAAGCACAATTTACCCCGGATGCTTCCATTAACTTTTCTCCCATTCAATAAAACACAGATTCTTCCCTCATTATGTTACAGACTCTGCTTTCCCAAAGGTTATTAACACCAAAGCTGACGACAATTTTTAAATTATCAAATCTTCATCCTGATCTAACCTTTTTCTTAACTCTAATATCCAAATCAGTCGGACTCCAAAATTCATGCTCTTAACCATTATGTGCTACTACCTGGGACTAACCATACTTAAAAGGCATCCAAATTTTCTTCTCTGTTTCAGCCATCGGTTAAATAATAAATTTCCTAAATATCTCTGACAGTGTTTTCTTATTGATGACTCCTAGGCATGCAATTTAGGAACTTCACCTAAATCCAACCTGGATTTCCTTCTTAAAAGCAAGACTCACAATATGGCAAAGGGATTAAGCACCTCTCTTCCGCGAGCAGCTTTCGCGGACCGTACTCACTGCTACTTTGGCATTACAGAAGACTGGAGTGAAGGAAAGTGGCATTCTGTAGAAACAGGGTGAGTGGTTTAACCATTGTCAGCCTAGCAGAGAATACAAGAGAATCAACAGTATGTATCTGTGACATGATGGTTATTATAAATAGAAATTATCTGTAAAGGTCTTTTTTCCTCATCTTCCATATGGCCTGATTTGTTTTCAGATTTAAATGAGTTCTGCTTTTCTGCTTTGCACGATGAGAGGAGTAAATAAATTAGCAACGACACCAGCATTCCAGGTGCGACCTCTTCTGGCCAGCTAACAGTCCCCAGGGCTGACCCTTCTTTCAACCTACAAAACCTCTTGACTGCCACCCAAGGCAGGCTGTCAGTCTCCAGACTCACCTCTTAGAGATTTCCCAGCTCCGAGGGCCTATTCCCCTCACACTGAAAGGCTTGTAGAAAAGTGACAACCCGTACTCACCTCGCACGTTGTCATTCAGTCCTTCTGGGAAAATATCTGGGCAATCAAAGAAAGGACGCTCGCTGCTGATTCTGAGTACAGGAACACTGTTCAATCCCGCTCGGCGAAGCACGCTCCGCCGGAACTGACGCACGCGTGCGCCCGGAACCGGCACGCAGACAAGGCGCAGTTCGTTCGTTCCGGGCTCCTTGAGGGCCGGGCGGGAGAACTCTGGAGCGGCTCCGACGCCGTTGTTTCCTGGCCATGGGCCCACGGAGCCGTGAGCGCCGGGCAGGAGCAGTACAGAGCACCAACGACAGCAGCGCTCTCAGCAAGAGTTCTCTGGCCTCGCGTGGGTACGTGCCCGACGCCTTCACCTCGCTGCTGGTTCCGGGGACCGCGCGGCGCGCGCCGCTCGTCCACCGGGGTTATTACGTCCGCGCTCGCGCCGTGGAGCACTGCGTGCACGCCTTCCTGCGGCTGACCAGCGCTGGCCCTGGCCCGCCTCGCGCCCAGGTCCTGTCTCTCGGCGCAGGCTCGGACTCACTATACTTTCGCCTCAAAGCTGCGGGCCTTCTGGCTGGGGCTGGCGTCTGGGAAGTGGATTTCCCGGACGTGGCCCGGCGAAAGGCGGAGAGGATCCGGGAGATGCCGGAACTGTGCACGTTAATTGGGCATTTCCAAAGCGGGGGTCCGGAGTCGACGCTGTGCCTGGAGAGCTTGGACTACCGCATCCTGGGACTGGATCTGCAGCAGCTGGGGCGACTGAACGTGGCCTTGAACGCGGCGGGCCTGGACGCGGCCGCACCCACTCTGCTCCTGGCCGAGGCTGTGCTCACCTACCTCCAGCCCAGCAGTGCCGCAGCCCTCATCGCCTGGGCTGCTCAGCGTTTTTCTAGTGCCCTTTTCGTGATCTATGAACAAATGAAGCCACAAGATGCTTTTGGGCAGGTCATGTTGCAACATTTTCAACAGCTGAATTCTCCCCTGCATGGCCTGGACCTCTTTCCCGACGTGGAGGCCCAGCGGCGCCGCTTTCTTCAAGCTGGCTGGACTGCTTGCAGGGCCATGGATATGAATGAATTCTACCGCTGCTTTCTCCCTGCAGAAGAACGTCAGCGGATGGAATATCTTGAACCCTTTGATGAGTTTGAGGAGTGGCATCTGAAGTGCTCCCACTATTTCATTCTGACAGCTTCTAGGGGAGACACCCTCTCCCAGACTCTGATGTTGTCTCCCTCAGAGGCATTTCCTCGAGTAGATCCTGCTTTGCCTTCAGGGGTCTTTCCTGCCAAAGTGGTCACTCATGGCAACCAGGGTTCAAACCTTAAGAGATATGGCCACGCCTCTGTCCTCTTGAGCCCAGGTGTTGTTCTCAGTGCAGGAGGATTTGGAGAACAGGAAGGACGGCACTGCCGAGTGAGCAAATTTCACTTGTCAAGATACTGTGGCGTTGGATGGAAAGGCAGCCAGATGTGTAGTTGGGGGATTGGACTCCAGTGGGATGGACGCCTTTATCATACCATGTCAAGACTTTCAGATACTCAGGTTCTGATTCTGGGAGGAAGATTGTCCCCACTAAGTCCAGCCTTGGGGGCTCTCCAGCTTGATTTATGTAAGAGTGAGGATGATAGCACTGAAGCCCTGAATGTGACAGTAACAAAGGTTGACTTGGAAGATAACGCTTTGTCACGTTGGCGGCATTCAACAACAGAAGTGTCTTATCAGAATGAGAAATATTTGTTTGTGTATGGAGGTCGGAATGTAGTGGAACCAGTGCTAAGTGACTGGCATTTCCTACATGTAGGAACAGTGGCTTGGGTCAAAATCCCAGTGGAAGGGGATGCACCTGAAGCTCGTCATTCCCATAGTGCCTGTCCTTGGCAAGGGGGAGCCCTTATTGCTGGAGGTCTTGGAGCTTCTGAAGAGCCATTGAAATCTATAGTCTTCCTGAGATCAATCTCTTGTGGTTTCCTGTGGGAATCAATAGATATCCACCCTCCCATTACCCCAAGGTACTCCCACACATCTCATGTATTCAATGGACAGCTTCTGCTGGTTGGCGGGGTCTGGATTCATTCCTCCTCAGTTCCTGGAGTGACTGTTATCAATTTGACTACTGGATTGAGCTCTGAGTATCAGATTGACACAACATGTGTGCCGTGGCCATTAATGTTACACAACCACACCAGCATTCTCCTTCCTGAAGAGAAACAGCTCCTGCTCCTTGGAGGTGGTGGGAACTGCTTTTCTTTTGGCACTTACTTCAACCCCCATACAGTGACGCTAGACCTTTCTTCTTTAAGTCCTGGGCGATAAAGATAATGCTTGATATATTCAGGATCCACTGAAGTAGACAATAAAGACCTTCCCCAAAAGGTATTTTGAATTTGGTTATAGATATTGCCATACCTCCACCACCACCCTTTATTCCTTAGCACTATTAAGTGCAGAAAGTGAGAAAGTTACTAAAATACCAGCAATCAGAGAGATAGTACAAAAATAAAATAGGAAACTGGTCACAGCAGTAAAGTACGAGGCTTCTGCATTCATATATCCAGTTAATTGGACTTCTACCAATTTTCAAATCTAATATCCATTTATTGAATTAAAAAGTAAAAGCAAAGCCACTGGGTATGGTGGCACATGCTTGTAATCCCAGCACTTGGGAGGGTGAGGCAAGAGGATTAGGCCATGAGTTCGAGGCCAGCCTGAACTGCATAGCGAGACCCTGTCTCCAAAAAAAAAAAAAAAAAAGTAATACTTTCTCCAACCTGACCTTTGTGACTTGAGATTGTACCTTGGAAAAAGTTTCACACAGATCCATAGTAAGAATACAAGGTTGAAAGTAGTTCAAGAAACATATTATTGACCTAATTCTTTGTGATACCTGAAATGAACACAGTTGTTTAAGTTACTGTGCTTTTAAGTGCAACACAGAATTCAGTTTTAATGAGAAACATTTGTACAACTATTGAAAACCATGCTATTGATCAAGTTTTGCCGCTGGTGTTACGTTTATTTAAATGTATAAATTACCACAAACCAAACTTTGAAGTCTTAATTCATTTTAATCATAATGTTTTTCTCCAGATCTGTTCTAACCGATCATTGTGTTCTGTGCCTCAAGTAGCTTACCTTTTTGAACTGCACCAGTCAGCTCTTTTGTGGTTTCTGGCTGAGTTCCACTGGTTAGAGGCACTAGAAGAAGGGAATGGGGACAAGAAGAGTGAGTCGGTATTTCCAGCCTTTTTCCTGCCAGTGTCCAGGTTGACAGCAGCAGCTGCACTCTTGCCAAAGGCTACAGCTCTTGTCATGTAGTCCTCCCCTGTAAGATAGAGTTCTAATTCTGTATCAATCCAGGCTTCAGTAGTCTCCTTTTCCTTGACATCTTCAGGCCTAGAAGTTGTAATGGCTCATTGTTAGACCTGAGCTGCACTGCTAAGTATTGTAGCTCTAAGCAATATGTGCTATTTAAACTAATTAGTTAAGATTAAATAAAATTTGGGCAGAGCTGGGGATTTAGCTCAGTGGTTGCGCTGCTTGCCTCGCAAGCTCAGGGACCAGAGTTTGATCCCTGGTACCAAAAAAAAAAAAAAAAAAAAAAAAAAAGGGACTACAGGGGGAAGAATCACCCAGGACTAGCATGAGGGAGGCCCTGGGTTCAATCTCCAGCCAAAAAAAAAAAATTTAAATGTGGTTGCCCTAACCACATTTAAAAGGCTCAGTAGCCACATGAGGCTAATAGCTTTTTATTAGACAACATAGATGTAAAATATCTTCATTATTGCCGAAAGATCTAACTGTACATTGCTGAGGCATTTTACCATCTTGGCTTAGTTTCCCTTAATCCTGCTCAGCCCCTTACAATGGCATATCCACTAAACTCAGTTATCCCCTTTAAATACTGGAACAATCTCCTGATGAGTTTTAAGAGATCAGCAAAATATCTTAGATATTAAGGCTTACAATTTGATCCCTAATTTGTCATCTAAATTGTACATATCTCATGAAATTCATATCTCAAAAAGTAGTTGTGTGCTGGGCATAGTAATACATGCCCATAATCCCAGCACTCAGAAGGCTAAGGCAGGAGGATCACTGCAAGTTCAAGACCAGCCTTGGCTACATAGTGAGTTCAAGGCCAGCCTGAACCGCATAGTGAGACCCTGTCTCAAAACAAAATAGTGGTGGTGGTGGTACTAAGTGTCCTCAAGTAGTATCTTGAGATTATATAGGTATTTGAATGTAATTAACTGTCAATGTTAGTATCTTGGTGGACTTGGCACAGAATGCCTTTTTCTAAATATTGTTTATTAACTTTGCATATAAATGGATATAAAATGTGGTTAATATAAAAAACTAGCTAATGCAAACTGATGTGTATGGAGAGGGTAATGTTGGCTCTGTTAGATGGTTTAGATGAAGGCTCCCAGAAGAAAACAAGCTCCATAAAAGTTTGGAGTCAATTGCAACTTTCCTGAGACTCCAAGAGCCCTTTCTGAGGAAGTTATTGGTTATGACCATGAGTGAGTCCTGGAAAACAAGGCTTACAACACCTGCTCAGGCTACCAGGGGCCAAGTACTGGATGTTGGTCGGAATACGGTCAGTGTGGGAAAATGCTGCCCTGTAGTTCTAAGTTCACCACAGCCTACCTTCAACTTCTAGAAGCAGATTGAAGCCAAACACTCTGATGAAATGAGCATAATCAGTCATGTAGCATGTAGTACCAGAGTTCTAACTCCAAAGCCCAGCTCACACCTTCCGTCATGCTACTGCTTAGATTGTGCCATCAACCATTATAATTTCATTGCTCTTGTGAGGAAAAGCTGGGGGTGGTCATCAAGAGAGTATGGATGTGTGCAGACCAGAATTGTAGAGAAGGGCTGCCTTTTATTTTGACCACTGTACAGGATGGCACATTAGGAATAATTGGCTTCTCCCAAATTACTCCCTGGAGAAATCATCCACATTTTTGGTAAGTGATTATCAGATTAAGCATTCCCTCCACCTCTGACTTTTTTTTCCCCATCATGCTCAGTTAAGGAATTATCTCTCAAATTGTTCATTAGAGCACTTAGGAGTCTTGTTAGCAATGTTAACTCTGTGACTTTGGAACAGCATCTGGTA